TTTTGTTAATATTATTGAAATAATTTTTTAAAAGAAAATCAAATTTAATTGTAAAGCGTCTAAAATAAGATAAGACTAAATTGAAATGGCTAAATTCAGGATACGAAGTTTTTATCAGTCGATTGGGCATTTAAAGGCTTGATTTAAGGGATGCTAAACTTTGATCTCTTTACATTAAATTTGTGTCAAATCATATTTTTTAAGACGGATTGAGTTTTTCAATTAAATTTAAATATTTTTTCCTGATTCTTTCTATTTTAAATGATGGCTTCTTACTTGTGTGAAATATAGATAAAAATAAGACCTTCAACAAAAAAAGGAAATTCAGCTATGATCTTTTATTATTAATCAATTTTTATTTAGGTATTAATGTATAGGACTAACTTGTTGCGTTTTCAAATGATATTGCTCAGAACTGAGCAACTTATGTGAACAATTTGCCACATAGATATTGGTGAAAGTTTATTTGAAATATTATTCTTATTTAAAGCTAGATTATTGAATAAAATCATTCCAAAATGGCAACTGCTGAAGATATTCAAAAACAAATAGAAACTCTTCAAATTCAACTTGATAGCCTTAAACAAAATGCGAGAACAAAAATTGACAAAATGAGTTCAGAAGTTAAAGATTCTAATCCATATTCAAGACTCATGGCTTTACAGAGAATGGGAATTGTTAATGACTATGAAAGGATAAGAACAAAATCAGTAGCTGTTGTTGGTAAGTGATGAAATTTCTTTGAAAATGCTTCTATTTCATTATATTGAGAAATATTTCAAAGGTGTTGGAGGAGTTGGATCTGTAACAGCTGACATGTTGACACGATGTGGAATCGGAAAATTGATATTATTTGACTACGATAAAGTGGAACTAGCCAATATGAATCGTTTATTCTTCACACCTGATCAAGCTGGATTATCAAAAGTCGATGCTGCAGCTAAAACTTTGAGCTTCATTAATCCAGATGTAGAGATTCTCACGAATAATTACAACATTACAACAGTTGAATCATTTGAGAAATTTCTTGATGCCATCCGATTAGGAGGAATTGAAAAAAACACGCCAGTTGATCTTGTCTTGAGTTGTGTTGACAATTTCGAAGCACGAATGGCAATCAACACAGCTTGCAATGAATTAAATCTCAATTGGTTTGAATCTGGAGTGTCTGAAAATGCAGTGTCAGGTCACATTCAGTTTATAAAGCCTGGTGAGCTTGCTTGCTTTGGCTGTGCACCGCCTCTTGTCGTAGCTGAAAACATTGATGAAAAAACTCTTAAACGTGAAGGTGTCTGTGCAGCAAGTCTTCCGACAACGATGGGAATTGTCGCTGGAATGCTGGTTCAAAATACTCTCAAATATTTGTTAAATTTCGGTGAAGTCTCTAATTATCTCGGCTACAACGCTCTCATTGATTTCTTCCCTAAAATGGATTTAAGACCAAATCCTCAATGTGATGATCGATGGTGTTTGAAACGACAAAAAGAATTTCAAGCTCGTCCAAAAGTTGACATTCCAATTGTGGATGAGAAAGTTACAGAAATTGTTCATGAAACTAATGAATGGGGAATCGAACTTGTCAGTGAAGATGTCAAAGAAGCGCCAACTGTTTCTTCAACTGGACTTAAACTTGCTTACGATCCTATAAATGAATCAAAATCGAACGAAATCCCTGAAAATCAAACAACTAACGACGATGTGAGTTTGGAAGAATTAATGGCTCAAATGAAAAATATTTAATTTTATGCTTTTCCATAAATCTTATCTACAATAAAACTATCTAAACATGCAAAACTATCCAAGTTTTCTTTCTGATTGTCGTTTATGTGAATTTAAGACACTCCGAAGGTGACAATCGATGAACTGTTCTCTGGTTTCATCATTAAGCATCCTCCATTCATTCCAATGAATAAGAATTGTGTTATATCCAACCAATTGAAGTTGTTCAATTTTCATTTGCAGACCTTAGGGAAAGGAAAATAAATTAAAATAAATTTTTTTTTATTCATTTTCTAATTCACCTCCTGTTGGTTTTCTCGTTCCACGAATATAAAAATTCCATCCACCAATGACAATTGCAACCATTTGATATTTATCGATGTTGTCACTGAATTCACTACCAAGATTTGAGAAAACATGATTTTTTGAAAAAATCCATCCACAATTTAATGGTTTGAAACCGTCGATAATTTTATCTGTGACTGATTTTCCATTTTCATCGAAACAATAAACGACGTCGGGTCGTTGAAAATGTGGTAAGACATGAGTCAATAAATTTGTTCCATGTTTCATCTCCATAAACTCTTTCAAGTCAAGCAAATGTTTGTCAGTGCTTGTTAAAGGATCGACTTGATATCTCGTCGGTACATAATGTCGCAGATATTTCACAATTTCACCTCGTGATTTGGAACTGAGTCGAGGACCGTCGTAGTTTTTTGAATTAATTTGTGTATATGAATCAAGACAAAGAACTTCTCGACCAATTTTCGGTCCTGATGAACCTGAATGATTGAGGGAAATTAAATAATTGGTTATGAACATTCAACAGTCGCTACTCACCATATGCTAGTTTGATAAATTCAGGATTTAAAGACTGTTTTATTAATTCATCATCACTAATTCCACATATTGTTAAATAATGAGTTGTTGTGGGCAAAATTGTAGGATACTTTAAAATTTCATCAATTCTCGTCTTTATTTCTTCTACAACTTTGACTAAGAATTCTTTTTCAATTCCACTTGATGCTTTGAAATCAAAAAGTCCAAGCAAGAATGTGATGCGATCAATTTCCTTAAGTCGAAGTTCTTTAATTTGGTTGTTGAATCGTATCAGAACTTTTTCAATAAGCTGATGATTGCAGTATTGAAGATTTCCACCTAACAATACTGCATGAAGACAAGTGATCAAACCAACTTTATCAATCTTTGGAATTAACGCATCGCAAAGTTTTTCAATTCTTAACGCATGTGTTGGATCGGAACAGTAGCGAATGTTTTTGAGTAAACTTACAAGAGTAATGTCTTCAATGTTGTCGATTTCTTTTATTGTCGCATCAATGATTTTATCCATCAACACGTTCACTTTCATTTTGGTTTCTGTTTTGAAGAATGCTAGGCATAAAACTCCAAGCTCTTGAATTGTAAACTCATCGAATATTTTATACATTCTAATTTCAACGTCATGCAACTTGACACTTTTCCTGCATACAGATACATAGAACATAGCTTCAACCAGATCTTTAGCTGAAAGTCGATCAACACGTCGACAAATCTTTTTCAGTGCTTTCCATGTGAATTGACCAACTTGAGACAAATGAAGTTGCAACCAAAGATTACAAAACTTTAACAATGTCTGTTGATCCCAATCCTTGATTCGGTCACAGCAAATATTGTCAAGAGCTTTCCAAAGTTTATGGAAGTTATTTGAAAATGGGCTTTGTGTTTGAGGAAATCTTGACAGGTCTGACAGTATTTTAGCAAGTTGATTTTGTGGTAATTCCTTCAAGATTCCAACCAGCTTGTAAATCAACTCATTGTAACTTTCATTATTTATACACATTGAGTTTTCACAGCAATAATGGCTTAAATTTTCAAAAGCTTCAACTATCTCATCAGCCGACTTGTTTTCATAACTCGTCTCTAACTCAAATTCTTTTACATTTAACTCTGGGACGATTTGTTCATATTTTTGTATAAATTTTGAATTAAAAATGATTTCGTTGTTTATAAATTTTTTGTCACATGTCACTGCAGAGACATGAAATTGTTGTTTTAATATCAATCGATTGAAATTAATACTCCATAATCTCGATATTTTCGATTTTATACTTCGTGATAAAAACATGTTTTAAGAGTTTTGTTTACATTTTTATCGTGAGCAAAATTGAGCAAATCTTACGAGGGATGCGCAGCTTTTCTTGCTCAATTTGTTAATTGCTCATAATTCAACAATTGTCTGCGTTTACAATCTTCGTTATTGTTTGTCAAAATATAATGAAATAACATCTTTCAAGTTGGAGTTATCTCGTAAATATTCAGAAATAAAATAAACTTCATAACAGAAATCCAAAATGTTTCATAAATTTCAGAACTTTTCAAAATGCAGTCAAAGTCAATTGTTTTAGGCGTTTCCATTGTTACTGCCGGCATATGCGGTTGGTTTGCTTACAAGTACATACGGAAGAGAATAAGAAACACTCCACCTAAAAAGTCTGTTCCAATCAAAATTCAATCAAAAATGACACATAGGGAGCTAATATCAAAGTATTGTTCCAGATGGCGAAAAGTTGGCGAATTGACTGACATGATGTGCTACCCAATAAAGTCTTGCGGATTCATCAGACGTGAAGAGTTCGATTGCACAACGATTGGATTTCAATTCGAAAATATTCGCGATCGCATTTTTATGATTGTAAACGCTGATGGTGAATTTGTAACTGCTCGAACTTATCCAAAGCTTTGGCAAGTCACTCCTGACATTGACGGAGATATTATGATACTCTCTGCTCCAGGCATGATCAATTTAACTGTTGATGTTGCGAGATTATTAAAGATCAAACCTATCAAAGCTCAAGTATGGGGCGAAACTGTTTCAGCTGTTGATGCTGGAGAAGAAAGCGCTCGTTGGTTTTCTCGTTTCATCTTTCAAGAAGATTTTGGATTGCGTTTAGTTTTTTATCCATTATCCATTCCTTCACGGAAAGTAAGAGCTAAGAACAAAATTTTCGATACAGCTATTAAATCTGATACAGGAGCTTATCACGATGCAACAAGTTTCATGTTAATCAATGAAAGCTCCATAGCGGATCTTAACAGTCGACTCAAATCTCCAGTTTCAAAACTTCAATTCCGTCCAAATTTTGTTATGAAAGGAGCGCCAGCTTTCGAAGAAGACAAATGGAGATGGATAAGGATTGGTGACGTTATTTTCCAGAATGTTAAGCCTTGCACAAGGTAAGTTATTTTTGTAAAAAAAAAAATGATTAAGAAATGAAGACATGAAAACGAATTCATGTTCTCGAAAAGGAAATTCAGAAAAGATTTCTTAACTTATCTCAGGTATTTATTAACTTTTAAATTTCATTAATTAAGATAGCTTAATTTACTTACATAACAAATAACAATGAAGTTAATATGAATATGAAATAAAATAAAAATTTCTCTCAAAAGGTGCCTTTTCATCAACATCGACCCGGAAACAGCTGAAAGGAATCCCGATCAAGAGCCATTGAAAACTTTACAATCCTATCGTACGTTTCCTAAAACAGGTTCAAGTCCAGTCATGGGAATTCATTTGGGTCTTCGAGGTGAAGGAAAAGTTAACATCGGTGACAGCATTTATGTTGAAGAATTGAAATTTGATACTTAAATACTCATAAAGTTCATTAAATACTCAAAGTTCGATCAAATTTTAAATAAAAATTAAATTCTTAAAATTTTATCTCGTTCCAATGAATTTTTATTCTTGTTTTAAACGTTTCGAAGAATTTTCTTCTAAATCTTCCAATTTTGTAACATTCTTATCATCTTCTGAGTTCTTTCTTTTATTAATCCAAGACAGTAAACTGTTCTTTTTATTCGATTCTGCTTTGACATCTTCAATAGGCTTTCTGCATTGTTCGAGTTTGTTTTTGGTGCTGTTGACATAATTCGAGACCTGATACCATACAATGGATTTGGGGTGTTTAATAACATTTAAAGCTTCTTTACTTGGAATTCTTTCATAGTCCAACCAATCGCTTATTTGATCCTCAGTTTCCAATATAGCTGGCGTTCGATGATGAAGCCAATCGAAATGTTTGTCTGATTCATAAGTAATGACAGTGAAGCTGTACAAAGAATCGCCATCTGCATCGTTCCAAACATCGAATAAACCAGCAACAAACATAAGTTTTATTTCATCTTTTGCCTTACTTTCACCTTGTGGCATTTGAATGAAGTAAACGGGTCTTTGTGATGATTTCAATTTAGAATCAACTGTTTGCCATTCATAAAATCCTTCAATGACTAAAATGCATCTTCGGCCACTTTCTAGTGCCGGATTGTATAATTTTGAGCTTGTCAATTTTTCCAAACGAGCATTATTTGTTGTTAATCCATGTTTACGATAATCACCTTTATGCCACTTTGGAACAATTCCCCAAAGTGCTGGAATCAAAACTCTTTCAGAACTGTCAGCGTTGTCATCAAAATTTTTTGCCGAAACGATTATTTGGCAAATGTCACCAGGTGCACTGTTGTATGAAGGATCTGGTAGATTTAAACTTTCAAATAAAACATTATAAAACTGTGAAACTTCTTTCTGACTTACAGTATTTCCTTCCTAAATTATATTCGTTGCGATATTTCGGTTCAGATTCTTTATCTTCCTTTGTTTTGTACTTACAAGAACACTTTACTTGTTCTGGAGCTAAAGTCATGCATGTACGTCCACACATTGTAAAAGTAGATTTGGAAATGAAAATTTATTCTCGTGATTAAACTTGAAACTTAATTTCACAACGAAATGAAAAACATTTTTACGCACTTTGTTTTCATAAAAGTATTCAAGGCTGACTGAGAATTGTACCCCCGAAATGATTTTTTTCTTTCCCCTTAAATAAAATCGATTTCATACCCCTTGTAGTAATATTTAAAGAGAGAGCATCATCAGCTAAATTATTGAATCCTTTTGAATTAAATAAATTATAGTAGAAATGGATATTGACGATGATGATATGGATCAAGCGCCTTCTTCTTCAACTGGAATCAAAGGCGACAAGAAGCGATTCGAGGTCAAAAAGGTAAAAAGAAAAATTCTTTGTTCATTTCAATGACAATTCATTTTGCGAATTAGATAACAAAGTTTTTCACAATTAAATCATACAAATAATCTTTTTGTTTTATTACAGTGGAATGCAGTTGCTTTGTGGGCATGGGGTGAGTAAAATAGTTTGAATATTTATCAGAATTTTCAAATGCATAACCATGAAAGAAATGGCAAATTTTATTTGTTATTTCTGGATGATCGGCAATGAGAATAACAAAATTTATCGTTTTATATTATTCACAGATATTGTAGTAGATAATTGCGCTATTTGCCGCAACCATATTATGGATCTCTGTATTGAATGTCAGGCCAATCAAGCCAGCGCTACCAGTGAAGAATGCACAGTTGCTTGGGGTGTTTGTAATGTAAGTTTATGTGATAATAACTTTCTACATTTTCAATCAATAATTTATTTTATTTTTCAGCATGCTTTTCATTTCCATTGCATCTCTCGTTGGTTGAAAACACGTCAAGTTTGTCCTTTAGACAACCGTGAATGGGAATTTCAAAAGTACGGTCATTAATATTGTTTTTGTATTCTTAAGATTTTCTTTTGATGATGAAATCATATCTCAAGATTATCACAAGAGCGTAACTACATAATTAAAAACTTTATCCTTTTTTCCAATAAGAAATTATCTTAATCTTAACTGTTCTGATTTCTATTTCATAAAAACAATAAATTTTTGTGTAAAACCGAAAATTGAATTTTGTATTATTTTTTTTCAGAGATTAATTATGAATAATAAAGTGTCAAAATGAAATACAACCAAGAATACAACTAGGTATTAATGATTAAATTGGCTTTATTGGATCATTTCAAGTGTTGATAACTGGGACAGTCCGACACAAACGAGTCAGCTAAGAAAGTTTTTTGTTATGATAAATTTTTGTAAACAAAAATTTGAGAAATTGAGAATTATTTATTCTTATTCAATAGAAAGTTTGATTTAAAGAGTTGACGATGTCATCTAATGGAAGACCATTAATGAAAATTCTCCTGGAAAACTTTCTAAAATCATTTAGAATACGTCAAATAAAAGGCAACTTTATTGGAGAAGATTATTTTGGAAACAAATTTTACGAAATTCCAAAGGATCCTTCAAAAGGTAAAAGCAAGACATCAAGATGGTTTGAACCACCAGAGAAAGAAAATCACGAGCAAGAGATATCAGCTGAATGGGAGTCATGGTTAAGAGGGAGAAGGTAAATTAAGTTGTGAAGTTGCATAAGCTTGAATTATTCTTGAAATTGGTGAATTTTTCAGAAAGGAACCTCCCACTCAACAAGAGCTGATGAAGAATCTTGCAATTATGCAACTTAAGAAAAAGAACGCAGACTTATTAGATCAGAAATTTCCTCCAAAACAAGATCAGGTTGCATTGAGAAAAGATGAAACTGGACGACAGAAAGCAAGCTTCCCTTCATATGACGATTACGAAGTGATGCCAGGAAAACCTAAAGTTCCAAGCAAATAATCTTGAGAATTAGTCTTTACTATAGAGAAATAATCTAATGTAAAAAGAAAAAAATAAATTTTACAAAACTAGAAAAACTAGAAAAAATATTTTAAATTGCTTTTAATCATCGTTCGATATTTTGAAATTCTTTTCGAGTTCATATCGGGGAAAATGTTCAAGATTATCTTCAATGTTTACAAAATAAAAGTTCATGAAATCTATTTTTAGATATTCGTACAAAATAAGCTTTTCTTTGTGATAACAGCTCTTAAGATTACCACTTATAATCGTCAGTCAACGACGATTTTTACAGTTTTTGAGTCATCACCTTATCACCTCCTACGTAATATCGAGGATTAGACATCGATAACACAGTTTCTTTACTACTATATCTTCGCGATATTTTGATGTTTTCGTCCATTAACGTGAAGCTCTCGTGAGGGGACAAAAGTCATTGTCTAAAGAAAATCGATTGTTATCACAACACAACTTTAAATTTATGAAATTAGAGATTATTTCAATCATATTTTTGCTGGCTGCTTTTGCTGACACTGAGGGGGCAACTATCAAGCAAGATGAGAACAAAAACGTAGCTGAATCCTACTCTTCTTACGAGAAAGCTTTTTTATGGTCATTGGACAAATGTAGAGATCTACAAACTTATAACGTTAAATTCAAGGCATTAAAAAACTTTTCGGTTTGGTTAAGTGAGAAATGTGAACAAATTGAGAGACAAGCTTATGATCATTATGAAGCGGATCTTTATCGACGACCTACAACTCGACGAACGACCAGACCACCATCAGCAACAACCAGACCACCATCAGTATCAACCATACCGCCATCAATAACAACTCGTTCCCCTCCTATTATTCCTCCATCATCCACAACAAGAAACACTACAAATGAGACCACACCATTCCCATTGCCACCACCCACTGGAGGGCCAGGTGGTGTCATTATTCCAACAAATTCACCAAATTCTGCAAACTACGAAAAATCTTTAAACATTTTCTTTTGGGGAATGATGATGATTATAATTGTTATTCAAACTTTTAACTAACTTCATGTTTGGTTTTATTTCTTCTTTTTCTTTGCAATAAATTTAAAAACTAAAGAAGTTTTATTGATAAAAGTTTTTCTTTTATTCAAAAATTTGTTTGTGATTTTTACAGTCAATTCAGACCTTCATTCTTAGACCAGTCAAGCCACGATCCTTTATAGCTTTTCGAACTGTTCAAAATATTTTTATATTTAATTAAACATTCACTTTTATCATCATATTATCTTACTTGACATATCCCATTGATATTGCAAGTTCTGCGGCATGACCAGCTCTGCCACCGCCTTTGCAATGGAAAATCATTTCAGTACCATTTGTTGGCTTGGGACGACCGAAGCTTTTGAAAAATTCTTCATTGTTCAATTTTAATTTCTCTTCGAGAGTTTTCGCTACAAGAATAAAGAAGAATTTTCAAGAATGTTATTTATGTTTGCGATAATTAAATTTTCTACAAGGGATGTTGATAGATGTTGGAATCTTTCCAGTTTCGATGAGTTCATCGGGTTCACGAACATCAATCAACAATTTTTCAGGATGATTTGGAAGATCTTTTATGACATCATAATTCACGATTTGAGAATCCTTTAGATTAGATGTTGCGCCACTCTGGCATGAAGCACCTTAAATTAATTTTTTATGTCAGATTTCATAATAAGTAATGGAAAATTTCATTCTCACCGTCGCTCATTTTAGAATGCTTAAGCTTGCTGTCTACAGAGAAACTGTCGCTAACTTTAATAATGTTTTCGTTTATCTTATCAAATAGAAGCTGTTATCAAATAACTTTTTTACTGATAATGATTGTGAAAAGTTTAATGTCATTTTATTGACATAAATATTGATAATAAATTCATATGAAACTTTAAAGTTATTGTGCGTTAGACTTTTAGATAACAAGTTGATATTTGATAGGAATAAGATGAGTTTGACTTTAATTTCAAGTAGGTTCAGATATCCTACATATTATTCATCTGTTGACTCTCTGTTTACATAAGAGCCGAAATTTGGAAAAGCATTCATGATTGATGGTTTGCAAATATTCATCACAAATGAGAAGAAATAACTTTGACCTGAATTATATCTGCGCTGCTTTTTTCATCAAAATTTATGACTTCAACATTTTACAATTTCAAGCTTTTCTTCGATTATTTTTCATTTTATAGAAAAATTCTTTAAACATTCTTTCAGAAAAATTTCTTGCTATTTCTCAAATTTAATGACTTCTCGCTTGAGAATCAGAGAAAAATGCTTTCAACTATCGAGGAAAATCAATAATTGTCGTCGTCTCATATTCCCTAAATAGAAAGATGTTTTCATTCATCACACAACAGAGTTTTCGTATCTTTTCCTCTCCTAGTTGTTGTTGCAAAAAAAAGCGTAAATTTTTTGGCGCCAGTTCGTCGCCTCCCAGACGCACATTACAACAAATAAATGTCTTCCTCTAGGATGACTCTCCCTCCGCTCGTAATACAATGTTTCGTCGCATAAGCATATAATTCTTCAGATATTGCGAATCGTTTGGAAACTGAAACGATAATATCACGAAGATTGACCTCATTTTTGTTTTAAGATTTTCATAAGAAAAAGCTGTTTTATGTTTTCCTAAGCAATGTTAAAGAAGATGAAAAATAATGTCGTAGTACTTCTATTCAAATGAATGTAACTTTATATTTTATTTTGCGCATCAAACAAGGCACTCTGATTGTTGTCGGAAAACTTTCAACCGTCAAAACTTCCTAAACATCTTTTTCAAAACAGTTGATTTAAAATATTCAAGTAAAGTTAAAAATTATTCAACAATGTCAATGAGACCTGCAGTATTCATTAAGTTTTATTTAGAAACACAAAAAGAAACACGTTTTTCATTAAATTAAGGGATAACAGACCCATGCGTTCATTTGACGAAAAAACAAAGGAAAGGAAAACTTCAATGTGTGACCAGCGTGACCTAAAAAAGTCGATAACTTCGTTATCCATATCAAATTTCCTTTTTCAGGTATGAATGGATCGCATATAATAAAGGAATTGAAGGAAAGAAAGAGAAAACAAAAAGCGTAAGCAAACATTAAGTTACCAACTTGAAACGTGTCGCATAGTCGTCAGTGGCTCGTCATGAAAATTAATGGAGACGGAAGTAACATATTCACGAAATTCTTCTCGAAAATAACAAGAATTAATCAATCGAGAAATCGAGAAAGAAAATATTTATTCCTAAAAAAATAATTCGTGGAACGAAAATGAAGTAGTTTTTCTAAAATGACTGGTAACGAGTTAAAAAACTTTCGATGACTTCCTTCACCCCACAAAATGAAATCTGAATAAATTCACTAATTTTCTCTTCCACCCTCGCGAAAAAAATTTTAGTTAAAAACTTTTTTCCATTTTAACAAAACAGAGTTTTTATTAGAAGTTTGGCATGATTTTAAAGTTAGGGGGAAAAGTTTTATCGTAACTAATGGTTTCAGCACACACAACAGAACTTCACTTGATTTGTTTCATTAGAAACTCCAAACAGTTGCTGATGCGTTAAACAGAACTATCGATAGAAACACATGGCTGAGAAATGCAATTAACGATTGCAGCATGCAAATCATGTTCAACTATCGTAGATAGTCGTCGTAGGAAATGTTTTTATTTGTATTTATGTTGATTATTTTCGGAAATAAACTCAAACCATGGAATTGCGTGACTCACAAAGACATAACTTAGATTGACCTTCGCGTTTCTCTTTCTTCTAACAGGTGATTATTTACAAGAAAAGTTTTGTTGGAATCAGGGAAAAGAATCATTAACTCTTACATGTTGTTAATGATGATTAATTTCATGATTCATAGATAGTGACGACATCGATCGATGATTCATAAAAAACAACAACAAATTATTCAAACATGTACTTGCTAAATTTGCTTGATTGTCATATCAAAAATTGGTATCAAATCATATTGTAGAAATTTTTATTATGGATGTGCGTGTTGATTTTTATTTTATGTTTCGCATGTTCCACGTTTCATTTGATTTCCGTTCATTTTCAGTCGTTCCATTTGACATTCTTGCCGAACATTTTCTCTCAGCTCAACTGTTTCAGATCATTTTTCATTCAGTTGCCTCGCGATTGTTGAAGTTAGAAGACGGTTTCAAAGGCAGTGCTGCATATTGTAGATGTTTGCTTATTTACCAGACAAAGAGTGACAGAGAAGGAGAATTAAAAGAGCGACTAGAAGAAAAGAAGGCAGCAATAAGAATAAGAAGATTGTTGTGCAAAACAAAAAAAATAAAAGAAGCAAAAATTCTAAAAGATCGATCGAAAGTGTTGCGAAGAATTTTTCAAATGAAAATGAAGCTTTTCTGGATGATTGCGGCATTTCTGCCGTGTATGATTCTTGGTGATACTTTAACAGCCAGTGAGAAATACATGACATCACATAGTCTATCTTGCAACGATTTGAACCCGCAAACTCATTTAGATTTTAGCATGGTAAAAGAGAGTTTAGTTTATTTACTGATCAAGATCATAGTGCAGAATAAATCAAATGTGCATGAATAATTTCCGGACGAATATTTGACACCGTTTGACATTTTTAATAAAATCATTCAACAGGAAGTTCCCAATCAAATATTTTTTAAGTTCTTCACTGTTCTTCCCGAGAAAAGAGTGATGTTTTCTAAGAATCTTCCATTGTTTTTATGGTTACTCATTTGATGTGAATAATTGGATTAATTTATTAAATTATATGCAAATTGAGATTCGTTAAAGTTCTTCAAATAATTCTTTTCATTTACTTTGTGCAGCTTAAAAATCAAAGACTTTAATGGATAAAAAATATAATTTGAATTTCTGCCAAAACTTTCCTGTTAATCGTTTCAACTGACGTTGACATCATTAATATGTTAAGCATGTGTATAAGAAACCAGTTTAAAAAGTGACGTAACTCATGTTATTTATATAAAAACAACATTTTCATTATGAGGTTTAATTACTTTCATCTTAACGATGCATATGGGTTTTGAAAATCGTCGATAACAATCTCAAATTAATTAATTTCGTTCAAATAAAAACTGTCATAATTGCTATTTAGATGTCATCACATTTTCCACCCGAATTTCGCGCCTTTAAGTTTTCCAGAAAATTATAATTAATAGTGGAGAATGCTTCATCAACTTAAGCCAAACCCTTAAAATGTAAACATTTTGAAGGATCCGGTGAGGGTTAACTCAATATTTTTACTTACAAAAAAGTGCGACAATAATCGATTTCTTCGTCGGGGCTTCCTCAACGAAAACAAAAGCCATCCAATCAATTTTCATTAGAAATTTCGTCCGGAAGTTTGCACATTAATGTCGGTAGAAGTTAAAAATCAAACATCTTTCCATAACTTTCAGCTTATGGGACTTTGGTACGGTGCTGAGATAATAACACATCATGAAGAAAATGCCTACGAGACTCTCTACGAATCTTGCGTTGTTGTTCACTTATCACAAGACAGAGGGGTAAGTTTATAATTCCAATCATCAGTTGCTTATTTCATATGAAAATTTGAAGCAAACTTTACCAATTTACGACAGTAAGTGTTCGATAATTTGAATTTTATTAATCAAGTAACGAAACAATTTTGACTAAAATAGTTTGTTTGACATCAATGGCAATTTAATTTAATTAAATTTTCGCATTCATTGTCATAAACTTCATTATATTTTTTAACCTTTGACCTTTGAGAAGGAAAATTGTTTATGTTGGTATCTAAATGCATTTCAAAAATTAATGTTTAAATGCACTCTCTCACACATTAACTCCATGTCGGCTTCCAGACCCTGCTGTTGTTCAATTTTATTCAATTACTAAACATTTCTCTTAATTAACTTTACGCTCGATATTTACTCGAAACAATTGGATTGGATTGACGCGCTTTACATATTTAAAGAATCTATCAAGTTACGCAATTGCGTGTATTCGATGATCAAGAAAAAGAAAACTTTCACTTTAGGTTCTAATTGGATTACAATCAAGACATTGACGAAACTGAAATTAAATGAAAGCCAATAAGTCATCGTGACAGAATGTCTTGAAACTTCTTATTTATTCCTCCATTGTTCGACAATTGAGATGTTTACCCTTAAAATTAAATTAATTAATTCACTTCTTCATTGACAGGGTGAACCCGATGCATTCGATTATGTGAACTATGATCAAAGTTCATATAATAATATGAAGAATAATAATAATTATAACAACATGCATACCTCTGATAGACGGTTGCGATTGGTTTGGGATGAGCGTGGCAAAACTTTGGAATATTCTTTGAGAGTGAATCGAGCAAGAAATGGATTTTGGATATCATCGGGGGCACAAAAAGGTAATTCGAAGATTTTTACATTAACTTCTTCTTTTTGTCGATACTTTTTGACGAGGAAAATTCTGTTCTATCTTCTATTTATTTAATTTAACTTTAATTTCTTCACTAACCCTTCCTATCTATTTAATTATAAACCACAATAATACATAGATCGTAAACAATTAGGAACAATGCTTGATCTACCCTACAATCAATTTACCGGCACAGTACAAGTTATGAAAGCTGTTGGAAACCATTTGGTGTTGACATTCTGTGAAACACTGCCAACTAATCAAATCTTCACCATCGTTCTCACTCGTAAGCCGCATCTGTTGTCACGTGATGTAAGATTAAAATTGATAGAAACATATTTCCATGTCATGTGGTGAAGAACTAATGAGAATTTTCTTTTCGCAGGAACTTCAACCAATTAGAAGTCTTCTTCGACGACGTGGCTTAAGTGTTCAATCTGTTAGAAAAGTTTGCAAAAATTCTGCATCATCCATTGCTGTTGGAATTCTAACAATCATTACATCATCAATTTTCTCACTTCTTAGTCGAAAGTTTTAAACTTTCAAATGAAATTTTCTTATTTCCGCTTTGTGAAATTCTTTATTATTTTAATTTGCAAGTTTAAAGCTTTTAATTGTTTTTGCAACTTTGATATTTACACCAACATCACTCAGATTAAATGAAGGGCTATGTGCGTGCCTTCGTTGTTAATGAACTTTTTATTTTTATGTCAAATTCCATCCAATTTATTTTTAATTCAACATTCAGTCTCTCAAATTGTCACAGCTTTCTTTTCTTTCGAAGTGAAGATTTAATTTTAATTGTTTTAATGACATCTAAATATTCAAATGATCTGAATAATTTCTTCCAGCTTTCGGGATTATAATTTGCAATAATTTTCTTTTTATTTAAATCAAAATTCAAATTTCCCAATGATAACATTGAAGAGAGTTCATCTGGTTGAACTTTGTGAGACAGAACTCAACGAATTACTCAATAAAACAAAGATAATGCCATGGAGGATGATAAAGAACCGTCAAATAATGGTCAAAAATGATTTAACTCTGCTGGTAAACCCTCCCATAAGTTTTAGAATTTAAAGCATGACATATGCGATGAATTAATTAACGAGAGTCACCATGATATAAGAATTGTGCCGCGTCGAGAGATTTTATAATCTCTTTTAATAATTTTAAGTAAAATTCCGCTGACTACCAAGAATAGGATTAGGATGAATTTTTAGATGTTTGTTAGGCCGCTGATTTGATGTAAAAGCGTTTGAAATTTTTGCAAGCTATAAGATTCATTTAATTGTGAAATTACATTTTAACTTATGCGTCTACAGATCGATAACATTTTACTAAAATTAAAATAGATATTTGTACTTTAAGAGTTTTCTACTAACAAGAAACATTTTCAGAGTCTAAGGATTAAAGGTACAAAAGGTTTATGATGTGTTTATGACTGTGCCTGATCGCTTTTGAAGATTACGAAACATATAGCCAAATATACACTTGAATCAAATTTAAATGTCATAATGACCCATTTTAGAACCCTCCCCTTCGCTTTCAAATTTAATTAATCTAAGAAGCAACTGTTCTATTCAAACCCTTCTTTGAAAGAATAAAAACAAAATGATAATGAAAATTGGAAACCAAAAAAAATGTAACAGAAACTGTAACAATAAACTTTTATAAAATTTTATGAAATAAAGATTAACTTAAGTTTAAGTTAGAAAGAAATGATCTCAATGTTTGTTTTTCTATCAAATTTCAAATAATTTGTGTGTGTGGGTGGATGTTATGAAAAAAAGGAAGTGATATAAGTAACTTAATGCTAAGATTGCGATGTGAAATGAAACGCATCGTACTTGAGTGCCTAGAATTTATTTTCTCTGTACGCGTGGGCGTAAAAACTGCTACGGAGGAAGTTCATGGAGTCAAATGGACTTTTCTAAAAATGTTCAATTCAATTAAATAATTAAAACGACTCAATAAAATTTAATGACGTTGTGAAGGCAGACCGAGCATTCTTTTATTCTCTAAAACTGAAAATTCTCTGCTTTTCAGACGCGAACTTGAATTTTACTGTTATTTCAGCTTTGTCATTGTGAAGCATAATTAAAATATCACAAAATATTTTGATGGCATACTAAGATAAGTGATAAGTTTTAATTTTATGCGTTGCGTTGTAGAAATTAAATCAGAGATAGATATAATAAAATTAAATGTGGATACAAAAATGGAATTTCGATGCAATATCATCGATACACATAAAAAAATGCAACACATAAAAACATAAATGTCTGAAAGAATATCATAAAAAACACAACAAATATTGTCATGATTAAAATCTGTTTTTAAAATTATCAAAAAGCATCATGTGTAAACAGAAAATGTAAACTTTCATCCTAGGCAAGTGATCAAAGCAGAATTAAGGTAAACAAATCGATTTAATTAAACAGAGTATGTGATATGTGAAGCATCCTTGTCAAAGAAAAAGTTAATATAAAGTTTTTATGCAAATACAACGTCATTAGTGTATTTGCATAAAAGTAATTAATTTCACTATAACTTAATGATTCATTGCTTTAAAAGCTTTGAAGTTTATTGAAAACTAAAGGAAAGAAGTTGAATGTCGTTAAAAGAAGGCGATAACATTCTTATGTCTTTCTTATGTTCTCCCACTAAATATAAAAGCTCATGCTCAGCATAAAAATCGAAGTGGAAACAATATAAGAATATCAATGCTTGCCTTATTTTTATATTTCAATATTTAATACGAAAAATCCATTTTTTGCGTAACTTAACAACAAACAACATAAAAGCAGGAAGAAAAGTTTCATTTCTATGTAGGTACGTTTCAACTTCGTTCCGTTTCACTACATATTTGCTCTCAAATGTTTCATTTTCAACACGATTTCGATATCATACAAAACGTTGATTTCGTCGCTTATAAGGACAGTCGCGATCGGAACGTCTAAGAGTGAATTTCGTGTTTAAGGAAGAGAAGAAATCCAAAAGGGAAAATAATTAATATGAAATTCGTCACGAAAGTGAAAATTTCTGCGTTTCTTTTCATAATTTGCAAGCAGTTGGTGTTATCGGATAATGAATTTCTCAACAAATGTCCCGAGTTTAATCCTCAAAATGAGCTTGTGGGTTGAAACTTTTTAAACATTTTAATTAAATTTATCAGTGTTCATTAATTCCTTTTTAATTTAATTTCCATATAAAATTCTAGGATATTGAATTGGTAAGTTGAACCTCCTAGTGATTAATATAAAAAATATTGATTTTCTTTTAAAAATCTGTTTCGATTTGATTTATCTGCGCTATTGCGACATACCAACATTAATTTTTAGTCGTTAAAAGCTTCGTATGATTGTGAAATAATTAAAAGCAGAGTGAAAATACTTGTCATTCATGCATAAAATTTAAAATCTCCTTTTTTGTTCTTATATGATACTTTACCATGCCAGAGATTAATTTTAAATATTCAAACTTTACTTAAAAAGAATTCATTGAAAATTTTAAAGTGAACGAGAAAAAAAACAATTCAATCCTCTCGTAATCTTCCCGAGCCTTCCCTATAGACTTTTAACGTAGAGCTTATGAAAATCTTTCCCTCTTTATAAAAGTCACACCGCATAACACTGGCGCCAACCGTCCATGTTATTTGTAGAGTGCAACGAGAAGAAAAGTTTCATGTTCTGCCTTCTTTTTCAAAATGAATCTTTAAATAATTGTTTCTTTACAATTAGATTTCAGGCCTGTGGTTTGGTGGCGAACTCATAACTCACTATGAGGGGAGAGGTGGATACATTCAAGCTAGTGACATTTGCACATTTATTCAAATTGAAGAAATTCATGAGGTAAAGTTATTAAAAGTGATTTGACATCAAACTTTATTTATTTATTTACTTAGTGGGGTGATTACAATTATGATTATGACGACAGAAATAATCATAGAAGCAGACACTTTGATTATAATCCCGACCGCTATCGTTTTCTTGAACTAACTTGGAGTGAAGCAGACAAAACTGCAAAATACACGCTAAAGTTTTTAAGCAAGAAACGAGGATTATGGATCGGTACCGAACCACCGAAAGGTGAGAGAAGACACAAAAGACGAAATTTATAGTGTCTGCATCCACACAAATGGGTCAGAAATGAATGTAAATTCCTTGTTTTTTGGCAGGAAGCATCCGACGAAACCATCTTTTGCATAGCCACTACACTGGAACAATTCAAGTCATGAAGGCAGTTGGAAACCATTTGGTGTTAACATTCTGTGAGAAATCTGAACTATTTACAATCATTCTCACAAGAACAAAGAATTTAATGCCTATCGAGGTGAGTAAATGCTTTTTAAATAAAACTCTTACTGGTTAATTGTCCCTGATGATCAAAAATAGCATCATCAACACTTCTCACTCCCACCAACATAAAAGCAATGTTAAATTATTGATTTTCATTAAATGTTTTCCTTTTTTATCTATAGGATGTCGAATCTATTCATGCTTTATTGGGCAGAAGAGGTCTAGCAGTTCAATCTGTTCGTGAACTGTGTCGAAATAATTCAGCAATTCGTCTCACGCTTCATACCGCAGTTGTGTTCACTTTAATGATGATATTTTTAATGGGAAATTAAGAAATTTCATTTTCTTCTTCTTTTCTATTTGCTTAAATTTAAGAGAAACAAAACATTCATTCTTGAGCTTTTCCCAATTTTATTGAACTTTTAAACATGAATAGTTTTTATTTCGATAGAGATGATAATTTATGTGGAAAGCTTCCGCCATAAATAAATAGCAGACAGATTGTTGTTATCATGTGACCAGCATAAATAATTTAAAATCTTTTGAAGATAAATGTACGTGTGATTAGATATTTAAGATTTTATTCAGATCTCACAATAAAAGATAAAAACAAAAAGATGTAATAAATGGTAAACATTTGATAAGCAGAACGTCACAGCTTGCGGTACATTTCTCCATTAAATGATGAAATTGAATGTTGAATCCTATGACGAAAGCACAAGCAGAGTAGTTTATGATTTTCATCTGATTTCAGATATTTTCGGTCGTTAATTTCAAGCGATTGTTCTTCCCACAAAGCTTTAATGTGAGTGTTGCACGGAAGAACAAAATTTATGGCATCACAGCAGGGAATGAAGGAAACTCACGTTCCTCGACGCTTCTCTTTAAAGGTACTCATAGGCAGAAATCCATTTAAATTGATTTCATACCTTAATTGTCCCTGAAGAAGTTGGAAGATGGAAAGCCCAGAAAAAGGAATTTTAATTTCAAAAGCAGAATTTCAATTAAATTTATGAAATGTTTACAAATTGCTTAAAGATTCTACCTTGGAAGAAGCTTTCATTCCTTTCATACACACCCACACACATTCTCAACTTTTACTCTATTAAAAAGACCTTTGATTAATTAAATATGCAATTAATTTATTTTTGATTTTCTAATAAGATTTTCTTCTGATAACATGGTTTTCATTTTCATTTTCATTTATTACATTATGAACATCATCATTTGTTCATTCACAATATGTTTTGAGGAAAATTTATGATGATTTATTTATTTATTTTCCCTTCATTACACTCAGTTATTGTGTAGATATTATAAAAACATTACACCTTGTCTTAATGATTCCTCTAAAGTGCAATAATCTTTCTTGACTTTCTGTCTATAAAATTTATTTCAAAAGGAAAGAAAATTTCTTGATTCCCTAGTGGCGGTTTTAATAAGTAAGATATATAAAAAAAGACTTTTCTTATCAACAAGAAGGAAACAGATTTCATAAACGTGATCGAGAAAAGCAATTAAATCAATTCTCGAACGTATAATAAAAGTGAAGGCGATTTCAATTCAACATTAAAAATTGAAATGTTGCGGTTACTTAGTGAGGGCGCAAAATCGTCTGATTTCCCTTTTGACCCATACCAAGTGTAAAAAAATGACTATTATTTGGTAAAAATAAAACAATATGAACAAACTGCAGTTGTTGAAGCAGAAAAATTACACACAGTCAAACAACTATGAAGATTTGAATGAATCTTCTTTCATTAGTTAAATCTGTGCTAAAATAAACAAACTGCAATTGATTCACAATAAGCAAAAGGCAAATGAAAAAGTTTAAATCGCAATACAAAAAGAAAATTTAACGTTAAAATACAATTAGAAAATCTAGAAAGAAATCATGTCAACTACTTAAATGTTAATTTCATCTTTCTATGCTTTCTTCTGAACATGAAGCTCATCTAACTGCCTGAGCATCGATCGCAAAGGATAAAGCACCTCGTATGTGATAAGTTTCTCATCAAATATAAAATAAAGAACATGAACTCAAGTATTCGAAACTTGCTTCCTATCAATTTGATTAGTTATTTACATGAAGATTAGATATATAAAGAAGAGAAAATCCATTCATTCCTGCACTTAATTTTCTTTTCATATCTATGTTGTCTCTTACAAAGTAATCAGTTTTATTCGTCATCATCAAACCATTTCTTATATTGGGATTTGTACGAATGTTATGCTGTCGATAAATTTTCACATTTAACATTTTCTTTACTAAACAATTCCTAGACGACATTACATTTATACAATTCCCAATGATTTTTGTGCAATTCAAGCAAAATTGTTTTTTTTTATATTTTTGTTTTCCTAAGGAATAAATTTCGATCTCAAAAAGATTTCTCTGTTAATATTTAAATAAATTTAATTGTTTCTTTCATTTTTTTATTTAATTTTTTGAGAAAGCTTCTTGATTTGGAAGCTTTCTTGTTGTTATTTAAAAAAATTGTTTTAATGAGGTCGGAAACTCAATATTATTTTTAACACCATTGATTATTGAGGAGAGAAATTTATATGCTCTAAGTTTTAATAAACTGATTTTTTTTCTTTAATAAATATGATTTTTTTAATCTTTTAGACGTCAAATTTTATGTTGAAAAATGTAATTTTTCGCTCATCCAACCTGACTCCAACACTTTCTGTTTTCTCGACACACATATTTACAGCAATGAAAGATCTGTGAAGAGAAATCAAGAATTATTAAATCTCATATTTCAAATTAACTTTTAACATCTTTTTTACCTCTTTCATCGTTATTACTCTCGGATGCAGCGACTAGATTATTATTATTTAAATTATTATGAGTAATTAAACTACTACTGTTGCTATCTATGAAATTATTATTATTCAAATTTGTAGATGGATTTTCTATCGTCGGATCGCTGCTACCGAAATCAATCAGCTTATCTTCATTCGCTTTCGTTGGAATCTCTGGAGCATTAGATGGTATGCTGTGAACGAGAACAAAATCAATTAAATGCGAGAAGTTTTAAACAATTTTCTAATGTTTTAAACATTAAAGAAGAAATACCTTTGTGCATGTTAAAAAGATGATGAAAATGATGTGTGATATTATTTTGTATCTTTTTGTGTTAGATATAATAAAGTCTATGCGAAAGCGCAGATTTTAGATGAGCGTGACGGTTAAATATTAACGAAAACAATTAAACAACAAAAAATTCTTGTGTGTGTCTTGATAAATGACATTAATATCGTGCAAGAGCAAATCATATGTCGGCGACTTTTAGTCTACGAAAAAAAATTAAGAAAACAACAAAATGAACCAGAAGAAAGATTTTTTATGTAAAGAAAGAAAAATTAATCGGAGTTAAATATTTAATCTAACTCTGAGATGTTTGAATTGGTGTTAGATCAATTGTAAGATTAGATTAAGTAGAATTTTAACTCCGATTGACATTTCTTAAAGCAACAAGCAATGAAGGAAAAGAAGTTGAGTTGAATATTAAAAGTATAATTTAATAACACTTACAAAGCACTTTCAATACTGTTTTTTTCATGCCCGTTTGTTGCACCATCATTGATGATCAGATCGCTTGTCGGCGTTTCATTTTTACCGTTTTGTTGTCCATTTAACAAATTTAAATTGTTATTAGTCTCGAGCAGATTATTGTTGATGCCATTACCGTTGCCATTTAGATTCATTTTATTGAATCCTCCCATGAGCAGGTTTTCTTTCTCTGTCACCGATTGCTCATAACTTTCTTGCTTATCAGAGGATGGTGATTGATCGTCTTGATTGTTAACAAAATTTGATTGTTCTGAATTTAAAGTTTGTTCAATCATCGATTGTGACATTGAATCAATTTGACTCTTTGACAAATCCACAGCATCGCTTTCATTCTGAAAATATTAATTTAAATTAATTAAAACATTAAATTAGTAAAACGACTTAAATTACCTTCGATGGTGTGTTGGCAGAGCCACCTTTCCTGGTTCGAGCCATAATTGCTTCAACTCGCTTTCTTCTTTCCTCACGATCTTTTTCCTCTTTTTTCAAACGTTCAGCATTTTCAGCTTTTGCTTTTTCAGCATCTTCACGTGCTTTTTTCTCAGCAAGTTCTCGTTCAGCCTTTTGTCGAGCTTCTTCTTCTCGACGCTTCTGTTCTTCCTCTTCCCGTTTCTTATTTTCTTCAATGGCCTGCTGTAATCTCTCTTCTTCAACACGACGCTGCTCTTCAGCAAGTCTAATTGTTTCAGCTTCTAACAATCTTTGTCTTTCTTCTTCATCAGCTTGACGTTGACGCTCCGCAGCTGCTTCTTCTTCGAGGCGTTGACGTTCAAGCTCCGCTTGTCGTTCTGCTTCTTCACGAGCTAAACGACGACGTTCTGCGATCTTAGCTTTTGCTTCTTCTTCAGTTGTGATTCGAGATTTAGCAATCATTGAAGCTGTCATGTCAGCATTCTCAAGAGGATTCTCTGGTGAAAGTTCAACTGGTTTTTCCTTTTCTTTCTTCTGAACTTGCTCGATTGGAGCATCAGGCACTGAAGTGACAATTGTTTCAGTCACTTCGACGACAGCTTCAGTTGTAACGTCAACCAAATTGACTCCACTGAAACTTTCTGCTGTGTGCGCTTGCTCAGCTTTAATCACATTATTGATGATGGTTTTTTCGCTCTTGCATGTTTCATCAACAGCTGGAATTTCTTTAGCAACTGGTGTTGATTGTTGAATGATCTTTGGGGGATTTTCAACCGATGGCGATAAAACTGATGGAGTGTTTGATGATTTAGGAGTAGCTTTAGCACTGTTTACTCGATTCTTAGGAGTTTCAGTGCCTGTTGGTGTCTTTGATACTCCGCTACTTGATGTTCGCTTTGTGATTGGTTTTGGAACACTCAATGGTGCAACTGGTGGTTTTTCTACAATAAAAATCATTTTAATCGTTTCTTTAATTAAATTTAATTTAATTATATTTACCATCACGACTAACTCCAGTCACAGCTATGCTTACAGGCCTCGTTTTACGAATCGGTGTCGATCTCTTTGTTACTTGAGCCGAATTGGTAGTTGAAGTGGACATTGCACTTCCAGGACGAGATGTTGACAAGCTCTTTGGCGTTATTTCGCCAGAACGTAAACCTATTCGGAAAACAATTCAATTTGTTAATTGATGAATTTGTTAAATCGAATTATTGTTTCATTGTTTATTTTCTGTGCAATTAAATTTATATATAAGCAGATAAGATTGTGGTTGTTAGTACATATACGAAGAACAAGAGAACTAAAGAAAAAGAAGTTTTGTGTCCATAACCATAAGAAATTCAACGAGTCCACCAACAATAGATTACACAACTTTGTCAAATCACCAACAATTTTTTTTTGTTTTATTATCTCGTCAATTACTGTGACGTTACTCGCAAAGTTTTTTTGTTTTGCTTTGGAAGCTTTAATGATGTTTGTGTGATATTAAAATATAAATTATTATAGAAATTAATGTGATGATAACATAGAGAACAGTCAGCAGTTGTCTAGAACCTAATTCCAAGCCTTACATCAACTAAGTAGAAAAGCGAATATAATTCTAAAGTTTCCATTGCCAGTTAAGCATTTTTTTTTCTGTGGCTAAGTAAAGCATTAAACTTTAATTCCCAACCTGCTTTCACTGGTGAAATTTTCTTATCGATTCCATTCGACAATTGTGTCATGCTTCTTGTTGCATCGCCATTTTTGTGATGCTTTTGTAAAGGCGAAGGCGTCTTGAAGCGATCACTTGATGCTTGACTTCCATCACGACTCCGCGTGCCACTATTACGTCCACCCAATTGCGACATGCTGCGTGACTTTCTTTTACTTTGATTCTGTTGTAAAGATGCTTTCGATAAAGCCTCCAATTCCAAAGCTTGCCGACGCTCACGTTCAATGATTGCACTAATGTGCTCGCCATTACGACGTTTCGGCTTAGCCAGTTGATCCAAACGAGTCATTGAAAAGGCACGTCCTTTATTTACCCACCCCATAAGAATTGATTTTTAATTATGAATGATTAATTATAATTTTAATTAAAATAAGAAAAAAACTTGGACACACTAAAATTCAAATCAAAATGTAAAATCGAGCGATAATTTTTAAAAAGCTTTTCTGATTTGAATTATATTTAAATTAAAAAATAATTAAAACATTGCGTAAAAAGTCTCAAAGCGAGAAAGGGAAATGACACTAGAAAGAGTTAAAAATCATATTCATCATCATCTTTATCATCATCTACCTGGCGTTCGAGGAGTGTAGGTGCCTAAAGACGATCGACACATATCGCGAGGACTAGGAATGGTTGGCATAAGATCAGTTTTACGTCGATGAACGTTATAACTTCGTGTCATATCGCATGAATCATCTGATCGATAGAGAAAGGAATATAATCATAAAATCAATAAATCAATTTTGAAAGATTTTGATTCCATAAAACTTTAAATGCCAAATCTTTAAATGAACATAAGAAAATGTTATGCAAAAAACCAATGAAAAAAAAATAATAAATTTTAATTTTAATGCGAATTATGCAAATTAAAAGTTAAGAAATCTTTCTTCCAAGTATCAAATGTAATAAATGCGAGATTAGAATTGATCAAAAATTAAATAAAAAAAAAAGACAGAATAAGGATCAAAGCCAAATTCCTTGTCACATTCATGCGTAGGATGATTGAATAAATAAATAAATAATGAGCTTAAGTAACTAAATATCTGAAAACGATAGAATTGAAGTCGATTCCAGGTAATCATGCAAATGAGATTAACTAAATAAGGAAGCGATGATATGGTTTGTATGTACATTAATTGAAGCGATTTTAACCCCGAAATGAGACTCTTGACTTAATTTCTAAATAAATATCCCGAGCGACATGCCGCGAATATTTTAAGCTGTCTTGCCTTTAATTAATTGGCAAGTGACAGCGAAACGGTAAAAAGTTGCAGCTCGGATATTTATCAAATAATGTAAAAGATTTAAATACTTAAAACTTAAACTTCTAATATGAAAAACAACATCGCCAAACAATCAAGCACCAATAAATATTCGACAACACGCAAAATGTCCAAAACATCATTTCTCACCCTTCACGTTATCTACCATCACCATGCTAAGTCTATTTCGAGCAGCATTTCGTGCAGATGCAGATTGAGTTTGTCTTCGTGGCGATGGTGGTCCTTCAAAGTCAATCTGTGAGCCAGCAACCGAAAGCGAAAGCTTTTTCGGTGCAGCTGATGTGTTTGGACCCCAATGGAATACTTCATGCATCGATGTTGACATTAATTTTTGAGCTTTAGTTTGGTTTATTAATGTTTATGAATGATGTTAGTGTTATCAATGTGTAATAGAATGCACAAAAAGAGAAAGAGAATGAAATATTTATGGGCTTCTTCTTATCTTATCGACGATAGAAAATTGAATTCAACTTTTTCCTGAAATTTTTTCTTTTTTTTTGGTTTGTTCAAAGTTCTATTTAACTAAAGTCTTACTGAATAGATGCAGGCAACTAAGTAAGCATTAATAAACAAAACATTGAGATTATTACCTTCGCTCTGTCGATCCAAGCCACTCGCTGATGTCGCACGTTTCTTTGAGCCATCAGGTAAGTCACGCTCACAACTGCGACGTGTTATCGGTGAGATGCTGGTATTATAAGCGACATTTTGAATTGAATTAGCTCTGAAATGTAAATAATCAACCATGATTAAGAAAATTTAATTTATTTCTCACCTTCGATGAGCCCAAATCGATCCACTTTCGCTGTCCAACATGCGTGGTGTTGACGATCCGAATGCAAATGCAATTTGACTTCGTTCGTTTTTTCTCTTTGAATCTAATCGCTGTTCACGTTCGAGATTCTTACGCAAAATATATTCACGACGTTCTTTCTCAGCTTCCCAAATTGCCTTCTTTCTCTCCTCCACCAGGGTTCGTTTTTCGTTATCGCGTAGTTTCATGTCTTCCATTCGTTTACGACGTTCTTCCTCTTTCTGCTCACGAAGCTTCTGAGTTGCTAACGCTTGAGCTTTCAGCTCTTCCAACTTTCTTTGTCGTTCTTCATTTTGTCTCTCTTTCAATTGTTTTATTCGTTCTTCGCGTTCCTTTTGTGTCAGTGAGTGATCTGTTTGCGTGGGAGTGAAATGAAAGTAAATTTAGTAAAAATGATTTCATTATCATATGCGAGCAGCTTAAAACTCTCATGATTAATGTCGTTAACAGTCATAACAAAAAATAAAAAGAAAATTATTCAATTTTTTAAGTCAGTTTAGTTGCTTTTATTTTGTATCTCAAGAACACATGCATGGTTGGAGCTGAAACTCGTTTTTCTGGGTTAATTAATTCAAATAATTTTTCAGCACACCACAAAAATATTATGACGACGAGAATCCAAAAACATTAAAAAAGCTTCATGTCCACACTAAAAAAAATTCGACAAACACGCAAAGTAAGTTTCTCTTCGGTGTTTCTCATTCTAATGTTAATTGGATTAAATTCAATAGTAGGTTCACTGCTTTCAAACACACAAGTAACATTCATCATTGTTTTCGGCTTTGTGAAGGTCATTTGCTGAACATCATCGCTGTGTTGTTAAAAATGAGACTTCTGGGCGAATCAAGGAAAACAACAACAAAACATACAATGAATTGGCAGTGAGTTAACTGTTAAGCAACATAATAGAATCAACAGGGAAACGCATGACTATGTAAATACCTAAATCAATGAGATCATCGATCATTGAAGCTTCTTTTTCACCAACCATTGCAAACCAATGCATAGTGGCACATTGTGTTGAAATCATTTCTGGATGTTATTGCGTTAACGTTCGTTTCATCAAATATGGAATGACGTGTGAAATATTCAATGAGATCATTGCACAGACAGACAGAAATATATTTTAAAAGGTAATTTCAACAACATTTTGCTCAAGTATTTCTTATTTCTTCTTCCTTTTCCTCTTCGCACAACTTGCCATGCGGAATGTACTAATTCACAAAGTTTCAAATAAAGTACATGATGTACTCATAACCAACAGAAGTGGCAAGAAAAATCATAAAATAATAAGAAATGACTGGCATGTTGTAAGACATTTCATATTTTATCACCTAACGAAGCATATTTAAATGAACTGTGGTAAGAAAAAGAAGTTCGTTCTCCCCACAGTCCGATCTAATTATCACTTGTCGAAGCAAAAATTATCACCTCATCTTAAATCAACACATAAGAAAGCTCACCTTTTGTTGCTGATCCCGGCCTACACATTTGAGGCTGCTGCATGTTGGATGTTGTATCTTTATTTCCAGCTGCAAACACAACACAAAATAAAAAGAACTTATTAAGACATCGCTTATGTCAGAATTCTTTGTTTTTTCTTTTTCTCTCTGTTTTTTTTTGTCACAATAAACAGGAAATTTTTCACTAGGAAGATCAACAAAAGTAAGTTTTTCAGTAGTAGATGCTAGGAATAAAAGTTTAATACTATCGTCACTTTATAACAACTGAATCAACAACACTAACGAAGAACCTTTTTTGCCATGTTTTGTGTGTCGAGAAGCGAAGTTTTCTTACCGCCGTATTGTGAATTCCATGTGTAGTGAATCTTTAACGACGATGAACTTTGTGACTTGCGTATCGCAAGTTTATCACTCACGCTGAGATTCTCGCGTGACAATGCTCGAACTAACGCACCGCGCAATTCAGCTAACGTTCTTTTTGGTATGTTTATGTCATTAAAGCTCATTTTCAGTTGAAAGTAATTTGACTTGAAATCGATAAATGAAATCACTATTCAAATCCGCAAACGACACTTGCTACTTTTGACATTTATTTATTTATTTCTTCTTTCTTTTTGCTTGTAAATATTTCAATTTGTATTCAATGAATTTCTTTTTTTGTTTGACTCTATTCAAAATAATATTAACAATTGAAGCACGACACTACACAAAAGAAATTGCGTCAAGTTTTTCTTTCTTTCCTTCCTTTTTTTTGGTTTTATTGGCAAGTTGGCAAGAAGACGTATCTACTCGTTTTTATTTATAATCGAAAGAAAAATTAAACAACAGCAAAGCAGCAGTGAGAAAAATTACGTCACTTTATGTGTTTCATTCATTGATCACAACAACACACAGCGATAAAATAAAACTTTTTGAAATGTTTACAACTACACGAGCACTGCTGACGAATGATGTGCAGAAAACTCTTTTTTATAACGTAGGCTTCTTCACCATAAACTTATTTAAATTGAGATTTTTATTCGCTATTTAAGAAACAAATTACGATTTAGATGATGAATCATTTGTGGCTAAATACGTCGAATACTTTTTACGGAGGCAAACTGACCGATTGCGACCTTCACTCAGTTATGTGACACAATCAACTGAACAACTTCTCACATTCTTTAAACTTAATCGACTTCTTATCGGCTCTAAACTAAACTACTAACAAAACAATTCCAGACATTCTTGCTCTGTGTAAATTCGTTTCTCTCTCTTTCTTCTTTTTCTATCAATGTATCAATGTCTCTTGCTCTTTTGATCCCTTTACTCAAACAAAAAGCACTTTAAATGTTTGTTATCACTTTCAATTTTCACTGTAAATTGTATACAGAGTTTTACATTTATCAACGATCTATTTTTAACGAGCTTCTGTGCAAAGCATTTAATGTTTATGACTTCAACCACGACTCAAACTTTGAGCACGATAAATTTAGTTCCATGCGTAAGTTGTATCGATTTCCTTCTCGTTAATCGACTAAAAGAAATTTGTGATTTATGACGACAAGAAAAACTAAATTTAATCACAGTTTTTAAACGAAAAGCACGCGGAGCGGTCTGTGATTGAAACCAAATAAAAATAAATTGAATTGTAAGGCATTAGAAATAATGTCTTTGAGGTTTGATAGAGACAACAGCAACAACACAACTAAGACAAGCTCTAGGTAAAGTTATAGAGAGTTGGAACTTCTCTCAAGATTTGAGAAGAAAAAAAATAACAATTTTTATTACAAGCAGCACTTCATGGATGACGATGGTGGTGGAATAATAATTGATGTGGATTTGTTACCTTCGTTCCAACTTCTGACTGAGAGATTTTCAATTTTTTTAGTTAAAGTTACTTATTTAAAAGCAAAACAATGACAAAGATACGAAATAAGAGATAATCTAGGTTTTCTTTCTAATATTGCTGCTTTGACTCTACCGTAAGCGTGATTTGATTCATCTTAAATATTTATTTTTTTTCTTCGAGTGAAGGCAATTAGTAAGTCGAATGTTTTGGAAAAAGTAAATTGCTTTTTAATCCGAAATCATGATCCATGATTGAATGACAAAAGAAGAAAAAAATCATAAATAAATCTTTTATTTCCCATCCGTTTTGGGAGTTTTTGGCCATCTCAGTTACTTCTCATTCTCTCGTGTTGTGTCATGTCAGGTCGATATGAAGATGAGAAATTAACGCTCTCTTAGTCATTGATAAGTGACTGTGAAAAAGTCAGCTGTGTTGGTGATTAAATGATTAAATGTATTTATTTTGTGTCAATAATGCGAGTTTAGTGATCAACACAGTCGTGTTTACCATCACCTGCTTTTATCGCCTTTCCGACAGTTACATATTATTTTATGAATTCATATCGCATTTAAGCTCGCTATACAAACTGTTATTAGTCTGAATTTTTTACGAAAAGAATTCCTTTGACGAGACTGACTTTTCCACAATTAGGATTATTAATGTTTTCTGAGGTATGTGTTGAGTATTTGTGTCATGTTTTTAAGACCGTGTTCAACATAAGTAAAGAAATAAGGAAAAGAAATGATGAATTATGAAGTTATTGGAAAAGAGACGAGTGGGCGTCACAATAGGTATTGGAATGCATGCGATCTCCATCTCATTTTTTGATTGAAAGTCGACTTTAAGTCAAGGGTCAATGATGAAGTTGCTATTTAAAAAATTTACAGTTAAATGAAAAAATGCTCGCCTGCCTGCCTTAATAGAATTGGATAAGATTGGAGTCAATGTTACATCATTTTTAAACGGTTTTATGATCGGATTTTACAAAAGAGACTTTCTCTAAGCTTTAAAGATTTAAATTTATTGTCATGAATAGAAATATTTTCGATTTTCGCTTTTCGTTTTCACACATATGATGCAAGATTTGCATGATCTGTCAATCGATGATTTTCTGCAGATGATTTGTGAAAATGACTTTTAATCGTGAAGCTAATTTTAATGAGGAATAAATAAAGTGAATGGAGAGTTATGTAAAAAGTTACTAAATAAAAGCTTTTGTTACTTTTGATTTCAACGCATCTTATCGTCATCGGAACAATAACTTTGTTATCGATTTTTTATTTTTGGGGCCATTTTATTGATGATCGTATTAAGTCAAAATCACAACGGTAAAATACATCAAGGAAAATGAAATGTGAAACCTTTGTTTTTATCGTGTGAAGCTCATTAAGTCAAGTGTTGCCACACCAATCAGCAATTCAACAATTTCATGTATCAAAGATTGAGCCTAACGCTAATTTATGCAACTTAATAACTCGCAATAATATTTAGCAGCATCATTAGTCAAAATTAACGCAAAATGTGGAGAAAGTTTCACTTGGCAAGCAACTACCGGCCATCATTAAATCAAGCTTCTGTTGGATGGATTTGATTAGCACTTGATTAAGACGTTACTTAAACTTTCCTTCTTTTTCTTATTTCGATTTGAAATTGAAAATCGCAAGCCACTATTTGATTACAAAAATATCCATTTATTTTCCCACATGACTTCTGTTGTTTAGAGAAAGATTTACATTCATAGTTTCCGTCACGTAACTATTCAACAACAACAGAAATTTACTCACGAACACACAAATCTTTTGTCTCCACATGGAATGCTAAAGCACCTGTTTACCGTCTGATTTAACTTCAAGCAAGTGATTCGTTCTCGTTCATTGTTGTCTTTGAATTGCCTTTTTTTCAATTAATATAATCTCTTCAACGCATTACATGAACATAAATCAGCTAAGGTGCAGAAATAATTGTTTCAAAACAAAAATGTTACTCCGAATGGGAGCTTTAAGCTTCACAACAAAATCAACGTCGATTTCTTTGAAGAATTTAAATGGAAGTAAATGAACTAACAAAAAAAAAAGCTATCAAAACAATTTTAATTCAATTCGTTTCTTTTTTCTCATTACAATTTGAAATAGTTTCGTGCAGACTCACGCGTCTCAAGAGATATTTCTTTAAACTTCCATTAGAAATTGCTCTGTTTAATTCAATTCTCTTGCCTGCCTTTTATGCCGTTTTGTTAAAAAAATCTCTACGCTCATGTGTGTAACCTGCTTTCGAATTATATTTCTTTTTTTTCGCGGTAATTATTTCGTTGAAGCTTATCGAAGCATGTAATAAGCAGATATGCGATCGCAGTTTGGTTTAAACAAAAATATATTATTCATCATTCAATGACGAAAGTAAAGAAAAAACTTTCCATTAAAATTCGGAGAAGTTAACATTGAATTAAAGGGCTTTAAAGGATTTCTTCCTATGCGATATCTTAAGGCGTTTTTAAATGATGAAAAGGGAAAGTTTAATAAGCGAGACGCGACATCATTCTGAATATTTAAACACAGATTCTCCTTCGCACCCAATGAGACTTCCAATTTCTCTTTACATCATGTCAAGGCTTTTACTTAAGTGTCTACTTGGTTCAAGGCGCACCTTTAAAAAATTATTTTTGAACGCGTGGCTTGACAAAATTTTCAACGTCAATAAACTCTGCGAATGTCTTGCGGTTGAAATTTGATGATGTGAAATATCCTTTTTACATCTCGTATTACTTACAGATCCAAACATTCCCTTTAGGTGTGTCAGCGACGATGTTGATGTTGAAATTATATCGTGCTAAATCCCTCCTTAAATGGAATTTTTTATGCGATGCCAATGCACATTTGGGCAAGAGAAAAAGATTATCAAAGTCACTGTTAAGTCGGTATTGTCGTCGATTCGAGCCAAAGCTTTTTGAGAACTCAAACTGGCCAGTTGTTTTAAGCGAGATCATACTTTATTAAAGAACTTTACTGCATTAAATTGCTCAATTATCGTTTATCACTATCAACATTTATCATTAAATCTCTTACTAAATAACATATCACGATTTTGTTCCGTTGAAATGAGAGAAAAAGTTGAGACTCGCTCAACTTGTCGACAAGTAAAGAAAAACTGAAGAAACTTTTTTTTTTCAACAAGAACTCATAACTACCAATGGCTGTAAATCAACATCATCTACATTACAATAGCAGTTCATTCAGCATCATTATACCGCCATAAAAAATTAAGCACCCAAAGTCACAATGCACTTTTTTTTCTGTTCTTTGTTTTTTTTAAGTAATTCAAATTTAATGCTTTTTATCGACTTTAATAACAGTGAAAGTTAATTGAGTTTATTCAATAAAACTTCGCGATTATTCAAGTTGAACATCGAATTCTCCACGAAAATTATTTACTCTGATTTACCACACAAAAGAACGGACAAAGACATCGACGTCGATCGAACGTGCAATGAGCGAAACTTTTTTTTTTCCAGAGTGATAAAACAAAACAAAATAATAATAAAAAAAGTTTTTCCTCGATTTTTCTTTCGGTTACGAGGCTACGCGCACGAATGATCTGCCACAATTGACAAGTGTTGAGACACGAAATGAAGCAAAAGCGACTGAATTAGTAAAAACTCTCTTCACTCTTCTTATACATTAATATCACTTCGAAACAGAGATGAAAGAAAAAGCTCTTCAGGCGAAAGCTAAACCCGCGTGCAAAACTCGTACTATTGTGTCTGCATTCCGGCAGATAACTGACTCAAATGCCACTCAATTCAAACTCTTCACATATGATGAGCCATCACTAAACATTTTTTTAATTCATTTTACTTCGAAACGGATGATGGTCGCTTTTTCATTATTTTTAAAAGCTTCCACTGAAGCAAGAGAAGAGAGAAAAAAAAGACTGCGAATTAACAGAATAGCAATGTTAAAGCCGCGGAACTGTGTTCGACTAAAGGTTTTTACAAATTGATGAAACAGATGTTCGCATTTTATTTTTCTTTTTTATTGTTGTATCGCTTTGCCTTCTTCGAAAAACTCTTTGACTTGTCGTTTCCATTTTAATCTTTTACCGGCGCATGTTAAAATGATTCGGCGAAAATTAAATTTCGAACTTCTGTTATTGTTGTTGTTGATTTTCATTGCTTTATGGATGGATGTGTTAACATATTCATTTGGAAGTGAGAATAATGAAGAAATTGGCGATAAATTCAAACACTGCACATGTAAGCGTTCAATTAGCAAATCTCAAGATTTGATCTCGAACATCTTTTTAAACTAAATACTCACACTCACACATTGATCTCATTTGATCATTTATTTTCTATTCAGCGGATAAATTTCTTTTTGGAGAGGAAGTGCAATGAATTGTAAAATATTTGAGGAAACGATGGCATGAGTTGAGATGATAATGACACATTTTGAGCTCTTACTTCAAGAAAATATAAAAAGAATATTTCAACGCATCTTATTTTTGTTTCTTTTTTTCTGTTACTTCGTACATGTGAATGTCGGCCTCCCTCACACTCCGTTTATTTGCTCACATAACGAGAATGCAGAGTTTCGGAATGATATTTTCTTAATTACATTTTAATTATGATTTGAGAAAGTTTTTTTATCGTGATGTGAATGAAGTGAATTCAATTTATCTTCTTTAAGATAAGTGATTGATTTCAACACCAAACTATGAAAGAAAGAGAATGAAAGCTATCGATTTAACACCAAATGTCGGCATCTTCGTGGGAGTTGATTAAATTAGAATTCAACAAAGATTCTCACAAGCCCATCCCTGATCTCATCACTCAGTGAATAAGCATTTCATTCTTTATTTCAAGACAAGCCAACAAGAGCGAGAGAAATTTGAATTTTAAAAACAGTTCTATTAATAAAAGATTCTCATCTTGAACATGTTATGCGGATGGAAAGCCATGCATGGAGCATGTGCTTGTTGAAGTTGAAACAAGCATATTCATCTCGAGTTCAAATGCAACAGGAAAAATAAAGAATGAAAGATATTGAGTGGCATTTAAAAGCTTTTTGATGTTAGTTAAAGGTCCGTAAATCACGTAATCGATTGTTATTCGAAGGTCATTCACGAAATCATTCATCACATTGATCTGCCTTTTAAAACTTATTATTCAGACAATTTTTTTATTCCTTCTTCTTTTTCATCCACTTGATAACAACAAAAGTAACGACTTGCGCATTCGTTCAACTTAAATGTATGTGATTTGAAGGTTTTTTTCGTTGTCGTTCTAGACGACTATTTACTTAATGGCAACATTCATCGAACTTTCCCCATTGTTCTTCGATCCGAAGTTATCGATGTTAGGCTTCTCTTGAAGCTACTGAGATATTGCAAATCCACTTCAGGTCACGAAACATTTTTCTAATCCGTTTTTGAATCCGTAGTAATGTTGTTAATATAATTCAATTCTTTTGCTCTTGCCAAAAGTTTTGTTTATTTATTCATTAAAAAGAATTGGGTGCATTGAAACGTCTTCCGGCAAAGGTAAAGACAAACGAAGGAGCATTTAAACGTTTTGTGTTTTCAGTACAAACAAAGCAAGGCCAAATCAATACTTATAATTTTCTTGGTTTTTGCATAAAATGCTAAAGATATTAAGCATTTGGAACGAATTGAAATTGTATGTAGGTGAGCAATTTGGGTTGCTTCTATAGCTCTAAAACAACAAACTTCAAGCACAAGCACAAGAAATAAGTTCATTTATTTAACATGGAAGCGAAACTTTCTGTGAATGACGAAGAAGGAAAAAATAAAGTTAAAAAATTCATATTTCTCTTTGATTGGTCTCTTTCGGTTTTGTTAATTCTTCGACTAATTAAACAGTGAAATAACAACTTTTGAAGCTTCAACGCTATCTTATTATTATATTTGTTGAAGGAAAAGAAAACATAGAGATAATAGATTAATCTATGAATGATGTCATGTTTAATTTAAACTGCTTTTGTATCAACTTGATACATTTTTTCTTTCATTTGCTTTATGCTCACATGCGCGTAAGTATTGGACTTCGAATACTCCAGAATATTTATAATTTGTCGACTTTTTAACGTCACTGCCTCATGAAACCAAATCAAAAGTATCGGTAATTGTTTCTCTTTTGTTCTGCAGTGAAAAAAGTAAAGCGATTCTAATCTTTTGCTTCAATAAATTCATCATACAGTTAGCGCTATATTGAACGCTTTCCGATCGCATTTCCATGAAAATTATTTACCATACAGTTGTTTCTTGGTTTGGTTTTGTTGGCAATTTCTTAAATGCTTTCTTCTTAAAAATAGATTCTTGAGACGGGGCGATGAAAAAAATGTCGAAGAAGAAGTCGATAAAATGGAACTCCGCAGTTGTAGATAACAGAAAAGCAAGGTCGAGTCGCATCTATTTGTCATTGTATCTTACCAATTTAGGGATCAATTTAACCTTTATGAATATTAAACTCGGTTTGAAACCTTTTAATTAACTAAATCGATCTTAGCAAAGCCAGCAAACACAGAAAAAAAACTTTGTGACTCAACATTTATAACGAACACTTTTCTTCTTCATTCTTTATCTTTATCCACTAAACTTCATAATTTTCACTTTTGTTGATCTTCCATTTATCTATTTTAAATATAATTAACAAGAATATTAGCTAACCTGGTGAGAAATCTTTATTATTTGTTTCCATTCTAAAATAAAAATTTTTTTGACTGCTACGGCTTCGACACTCCTCGAAAACTGCTAAAATTGATTATTTACCTCTGTAAGTTAAACAGGGCACATGATAAATAATGTAAAATTATAATTATTGTTTCTTTTGAAATAATTGAAGTTTTTGTACAATTTTCATTAAGAAGAGATTGAATTTTATCATGCAATCACCATAAACAGCAGTTTTTGCATAACCAAACATTATTAAACTTATAAATTTGCCGCTGAATCATGCATGATGTTAACAGATAGGTTAACATTACAAAACTTGCGCATATACCCTGAAACTTCTGCTTTTCAATCCCTGGAATATTTCTTTTTCCCTTTTCTGCGTAAATTTAAAGCACGAGATTAACAGAAAAATCAAATATTGAAGTGAAATGAATCCCGAGAAGTTAAAAAAGCTGCAGGCTCAAGCTGAGCTCGTCCGAATTGGTGGAAAGGGTGAGAAATATCTTTATAACATTGAGATAATTGCCGAAAATGAGGAAATCAATATACATATTTATGATTTCCCAAATCTGCGAGTTTTCCTCCAAAATGTCTGACTTTTCTATTATTGTATCATTCCAGGCACCCCTCGTCGTAAAAAGAAGATTGTTCACCAAACAGCAGCCACTGATGACAAGAAATTACAATCAAGTCTTAAGAAGCTTGGTGTAAATAACATCCCGGGAATCGAAGAAGTCAACTTAATCAAGAACGACGGATCAGTCATTCACTTCAATAATCCGAAAACGCAGGCTTCACTTGCAAGCAACGTGTTTGCCATCACGGGACATGGCGAACAAAAGCAGGTAAAGTATTTTGTTATCCATTGAATGTATCTTGGTCTAACCTCAATCAACCTTAACCGGAAAGTGGGCGACATTGCAGTTGATTTTATTTGCTTACTGTAATGCGCATACAGAACAGAAATTCCTTAGATTCCTTGTAAATATAATAAAACATTATTTAACAACATTGCCATATAAGAATCTTAACAATGGTAAACTATTTTAGAGCCAAAAAGCATTTCAACAGGAAAACCACCAATGCGAGGAATTTTAAAAAGCATTGTTGTGGTTTTCTGTTTATATATTCTCAAAATGACATTATCATAGAAATTAAGTTTCTTATCAGTTTCAAAAGCTGCTTATTAAAAACATTTCTCTTTTTAGATTGCTGAACTTTTGCCTGGTATTCTCACACAATTGGGCTCTGAAGGCTTATCTCACTTGAAACGTTTGGCAAATAACGTTGTTGGCAGCAAGATATTGAGCTCAGTCCAAGAAGAAGGAAAGGAGGAAGATATCCCTGATTTAGTTGAAAACTTCGAAAATGTCGCCAATTCAGATGCATCACCTGCAGCTCCTGACGCGCAAGAGAAGAAAGCTGAAGAAATTGCAGCTATGATTGCGTCAAGTACAATTGAAGACGCTGCAAAGACGACTGATGACAAGAAAGATACGAAAAAGGAAACGACACCAAAAAAATCGAATGAAAAGGGCGGAAAAAAGCAACAGGCAAAGGATAAGAAAGCTTAAACTCGAACGCTTCTTTCATCAACATTTCTTTTTCATAATTAATACTTCTTTGTCTCGCTCACACGTCACAGAACTCTTCAGTAGGTCGTTGCTTTTATAATTAAGGGTAATCAACACCCTGGAAAAAAAGAAAACATAAAAAATCAAATCGTAAAGAAAATCTACTTGTAAACATTTGAATTTCGACTCTAATAAGAATATTAAAGTCATTTAAAGAACAATATTGTTGAATTAAAATACAGTTTTCAGAGCTTTTCAGATAATTTGTTTCTCTTTTCCCCGAAACTTTATTTTTCTGACACTTGATAAATATCAGTTGATATTAAAATATCAAATGTTGAATGGCTTGCTTCAACAAAATGTCTGTTCATCTTGAATGATGAAAATCAATTTATCATGATTATCCTTTGTCAGTCATATAAAATATCAAAATCTTTGATTTTCCAGGACTTTAGAAAACATTTTTCTTTCAGAGATTTCATGTCAGCAGAACTATCGAGAAAACTTTGAATGACATCGATGAAAACGAGAAAATCTGAAATAAAAATAAATTTCTTTGATCTTATCTTTGATTCGTTTCAAACCTCAGTGGAAAACATTTTCCAAAAATAAGATCTCTCACCGAAAACTGAAGCCACTCAGTTCACTCAATCAATAATCATTGTGGAAAATTTCAAATTGAAGTCTTCAATCTTCATCTCCTTTCTTCTTTACCTTTTGTACGATAGATATTTGTCATGTTTTCTTTCATCGCTGTCTCTGTAAGATATTTTGACGGTTTTAACAAATATAAAATAAATTTCATCATTTTTGGTTAGAGCTTTTATTACATTCACGAATTTCTCTTTATACAATGAAAATATTTCTGTTTGTTGTTTTTTTTTCTTTAATCCTTAAGTTATCTTTGTTTCGCTTCTCGGTGGTGTTATTGGGAGGAGAGGTTGGACATTTTTTATTTAAATGAAGTCACATTGTCTGGAAATTTGGCTGCTTCGTGACGACATTTTGCGATGAGAGTAAAATGAATCAAAATATGAAAAGAATTCTCAAGTTTATTTTTATTTAATAACATTTATCAATGCAAATATCTATTTTCTTTTGTTTTTCCTTCTTTCTTGAAAAGGATAATGATTTACAGCGATGATGTAAGATTCACCATTTTTATTCTTTCTTCTTTCTTGGAATAAATTCATTTCTTGAAAGCGTCATAAATCATCATTCTTTATGTTTCAAAATATATAATATTAATCATTTAATAAAACACTCTTTAATCGTTCTATAAATAAATCAATTGTCGTTATTAAATCCCATAAGTACATCATTTTAGAATAGTGCCTGAATGAGATCATTAAATTTTATGACAAACTTTTGGTTTATATCTAGTTTCAATTATTTTTAGCCTTCAAATCGTGTTAAGTTTCAACTTTATGAACTTTGTAAATATTATTTTTTCTTTCATATAGCAGAGAGGTTTCATTTACCAACTGCAAAAACTATCAACGCAATAGGTTTCGAAAATTCGTTTATGAAGATGGATCGCAACTTCTGTTGGCATGCGAAGTTTCAATATCAAGCTTTAATGGTAGTCAAGCACCTATGTAGGTAGTCGCAACGCATTAATGTCAAGTAGGATCATCAAAAAATATCAAGTACCCACATTAACATCATAAGCGAACGATATTTTTCCAATCATGTTGAAAGTTATCAACAACAAGAAGCTTTTACGAAAAAAGAAAAAGCTTTTTTTAATGTACGTTCCACTTAAGCTAACTTTTATTTTTTTTTTCATCAAAATCTCTGATTTGTTAACATATCGTTTTTCCGAAACAAATTTCAATATTTTATTTTTCATTTACTTCTTGTTAAAAATCTATTAATGAATTAAAGTAATGTGAGGGTTTTTAAATATTAAAAAAAAGAGTTGAATGATGAAAGTTACATTACAAATATTTTGAATTTTTTTTTGTTGCTATAAACATCGAAGAAAATTTAAGTTTAAGTGATTTTTATTTAGTTTTTCTTTTTCCTTTTGTACATATTTCATTTAATGAGTAAAATAAATTCTTATTGATTTTTCATATGAAGTCAAATGTTACATTTCCGTTCATGATGAAGTCATAAAAAATTTCGAGAGATCCTTTTCCGTCACACGTTTGACAAACAGTTATGATGCGAAATGGAAAGAAGTCGATGAAAAATTTATTCAAATAAATAAAACATGTAGAAATTGTTATTTAAGCTACAACATTTTTGACTCAACATTTAAAATATTTTTCTGTTATCTTAATTATACATTAAAAGATGTCATAGAACGAATATTTTTGTCATACTCACATTAGTCGTTCATTTTTTGTTCTATTTTTAACTTGTCATGAACAAAGAAAAGAAATCGCAACATAACAAACAACAATAAAATGTCGGAGGGAGTGGAAAGAAACTTATAATGATTTGATCATGGTATAGTTAGTCGTTTATTCATAATTAATTCACTTTCAGTTGCCGACGAGGGAAATATCTTTTAATTAAATATTTTTACACTCTAAAAAAAGGTACAAATTACTTAGTAGTCTAACATGTATTTCATTAATAGACTCAATTTACTTTTAAATATCGTTTAAAAAGTGAAAATTTCGAGTTTTTCCTTCTCGGTGTTTCCACTTCGGGGAAAAAAATTAATTTAATAATCGCCTTTGCATTTTAGTTATTTTGTTCGCTTCACAAAACCTTTATTAGCTTTGACATTTACCTAATAATATTCAGATTAAATTAAATTTAGTTTCATTCGAATATCTGTCAATCTACTGATGAAATAATTATCAGAGCAGATGATAATAAAACGAGACTTATAACAGAGAAAATTTATTGCCTTCGTATTCTGAAAATTCAGGAAAAACAGGAAAAGAAAATTATGTTAGTGAAAACCAAGTCACGATTGGGTCTTCATTCAATGAAATTAGATTGATATCTTTATGAAAAAAAGTTTCATTTTAATACTGATGTGGAGCTCCACTCAACCGTTAGTTTCTTTTAATTGCCTTTATATAGCTGCAGATTTAACTGCCACCACTAAAGAAAACCCATTCATGAATTTTGCACTATTTTAATTATTGCTTTTAATTATTTTGTACTCAACAGAAAACAAGAATTATTATAAGTAATTCTGATGATGAACAGCAGTCTGTTTTAAATTGATTATGAATAATTTTTGGAAGAGCTTCTAAATCTTGAACTTAGATTTGATGTTCTCTTCGTTGGAAGCGTCTTGACGAACGCTCAGAGCAAATTCTGGATATTAAAGTGAGCAATTAAAATGAGATAATCATGAATTATTATCTATGAACATGTTGAAAATATGACAAGAGTTTCAGAAATTTTGAGATGTGTAAAGATTGAATATAAATCAAGAATCACGGAGAGTCAAGGATGAGTGCGGTTGTTAGGTTATTTATACGAATGGGTCTTAAGTTTCAAGTTGATCTTATAAATAACATTCCTTTACATTAAATGTGACTGAACAAATAAACCTTCCCCAAGGCTATCACTGCTTTTAAAAGGAAACCTTTAAGGATTTATTTTCGATTCATTGCTTTCGCAAACAAGCCTTTTCACGGTCATCGAAAAATCATGAGCTGTGAAGCACGTTCCCTTCCGTGATTTGAAGACTTTTTATTAAAACAGAAACGAAAATTCCTTATGAAATGAAAATCTATTAATTATCATTTATTAATTTTCCCTTTCACGATAGTTGTGCATTTTGGCATTTTTATGAGTTTCCGAGTAAGGTGTGGGTGGTTCGAAAATTTCAGTTCGTCTTACTTAATTTATATGGGAAAAGTTTCCATTTACATTAGCTTGAAAGCCAAGCTTGCAATTGTTATAATGCAAATTTAAGTTCTTCTTCCGCCCTTCAACGATTACTTAAAGCCTTGTAAGTGAAGACTTTAAATGCAAACCACGATCCAAAAATTCACTCTCGCCATTAAATTTAAAACAATAAAAACTCTTCCAATGCACTTTTCTCTTTCAAATATCATCGTTGAAATAATTGTGAAACTCGAGGGCACATTTATTGAGAATTTTTCATATTTGTTTTGTCGTCACAACTTTTTTTTATTATATTTTGAACAATAAAAAAGAACTTTAAAAAAATGATTATTTTTATGATAAAGAATAAATATTGACAGAAATATTTTATTGAAAAAAAAGAGAGAAGACACGAAATAGTTTTCAGTAAAATTTTCGCTAAAAAGTCATTTAATGATTAATATTTCGAACATGGTAATGGTATGGACATTGGGGAGAAATTCAAAACACGCGATCCGAGACCGCGAGCCTAATGATGTATCATTATAAGTTTATGGCTGATAAGCAGCAATAGTTTTCTAGGTTTTTATGGTTTTTTTTGCGGGTGGAAGTTACGCCCCCGCGAACATCATTTAGATTACAAATGAATTAGCGTTGTTGTATCGCGTTTAAAACTCTTTCTATTGATGTTAGTTTTTGTTGGTGTTGCGCTCGATTGTCATCAGAGGCCCTTGTCGAACATTTCTAGAGATTTTGTTATCAGGTCGTCTTTGAGGCACGCCTCTAGAAATTCTTCAATTGTAATGACACCATCTTGATTAAGATCGAGCTTTTTGAATACTCGATCAACCTGGTTATTAATAACGAATGTTATTTTCATTTATACAAAGAATTCAAACATGTAAATGATAAACGAGTTTACTTACTTGATCTCTAGTCTTTTTATCATCTTCTGCTATTCTTTTTCCCATAAGTTCATGAACAGCTTGAACAACTTCAGCAAGTTCACCTCTACTTATACACCCATCACCATTCAAATCATACAATTTAAATGTCCATTTTAATCTTTCATACACTGAGCCTCTTAGCAATGTTGATAGCGTGACAATGTGATCACGAAAGCTTATTGCACCATTGCAGTTGACATCAAAAGCTTTGAATACGTAATGAGCGTAAAGACTCGAATCTTTAATAAGAAAGAGAAGAATTTTTATATTCTTAAATGTCATTCATTGCTACTTCCACTCAAATCAAAGCTCATAAATATTTACGAATGCAACATTAAGAAGCGGTGCGGTATTTATGATTCCACTTTCATCGCTTTTAATGGTGAAAAGCATTTATAAAGAGCATGGGAGTTGTCACAATTATTAAGAATTCCAAACACAAAAGCTCTCACAAATTTGAATCACAATCAAAGCTTTTAAACTGTTTTAAATTTTCCACAATGAAAAAACTTGAAACAATATCTAAATCGCTTTCGATAACGATTTAAAGAATACTTTCATTGCTAAAAAGCTTGTTTGACCTTTACAGATAAAACGTTTCTCGATGAATCTGAAATATTTTGTTGCGTAATTTATTGCCAAGTGACCTTAAGCCGGATATTAAACATTTAACCTTTGACAGCAACAATTTTCCTCGAGATATTCTTTTCAAGATTCTTTGCACGCAATTGTATTTGGAATCATTTTGTCGAAACTACTTGAAACAACAATTAAAATAAATGTCAAGAAATTTCTCAAAAGAAAATCGCTGAAACTCACTGCCATGTGGAAAGAACTTTGCGTATATATCCTTAAATGAGTTTTCATGAACGACTCCTTCTGGGCACTCAGCCTAAACGCAGGCATGCAAGATGAGATGCGAGAAATATTTTTCAATTAAAATTAATCAAGTTTAATGTTGGGTTGAAAGTTGTAAGATTAAATTACCTTGAAACCTCGGTACATGACTCGAATTTCCTGTCTTGTAAATTTCGTCAATCGACACAAGTCTTCGAGAGCGACAGGAATTGGCTTTGGAAATGATCGGCTTGTTGTTTCCAATTCATAAACAACCTCTTCGATGGGACTATCGGGTGGTGTTGCCATTTTTTATACTCTTAATTACGAAAACGTCTTTAATCCTCTCGAACAATTAATTTGATTTATTTTTGCGTACACAACGTCGTTCAGCTGACGATAAATAATTCTCAACAATGCTAAAGCTTCCTTCAGCTGATGATTTTTTATCACTGCGTCTCAAAATTATTCCCCGAAGCACTTTCAACTAGGAAAGAAACAAAAAAAGATAGAAAAATTCAATGAATTATTCCAACAGACAACCTTTTCATGAGCTTTCCGAAAACCGACTAAAGCTTTTCGTATTTCTGGATTTTTATATCGCAAGCTCTATGATAATTTTGTCAATGCGTAGACTCGAAAGCGTTGTTGTGTCATACTCTACATAAATAAAAAGTTAAATCCTTTGTTTTTTAAGATGTTTCTGTGTTAAGATTCGGTTACAAAAAATAATTAGCCTGATGTAAATTTTGATTAATGTTGAATAATTGATAACTTCTTCAGATCGCGAAGAAAGTGAACTCTGAATTTTCTTCTTCGGTAAAAGTCAACCTTCACTTTCCCATTCTTTTATATTTATAGAACTTAGACATTTCAAAAAATGTTTGTAACACTTCGTAATGAGTTTTGAGTGACAACACAACATCTCTGGGATTCATGACCATAATTTTTGATGTTATAATCAAATAAATTATTATCGCATAGCTGACAGAAAAAAAGCGACCCGACAAAAAGAGGGATACGCTCATATGCTAGTAGAGATATGTAAAAAAATAAGTGAAAGTGAAAAGGGATTGAATTTTTTAACATGAGTGACGTTAGAGGTCATTATAGACGAACCTAAAGGCTTTTACCTCCCATTCGAGCCAATGTCTCGTTCGCATTCAACGAGCTGACGAATGATTATGTTATTGCATAACCCACCAACTTTAGATTTATTATTATTTCTTCGTTTTATCTCATATCTCACTGGTTATTAATGTTTTTATAGCGCTCTATGTATAACAATTGAGAAACGGCGAAAACCTCCAACTTGCGATTTGATGTCAGTTGGGGTTATTACTTGAAGAAAAGGATGCGATAAGCAACGAGAATTTTCATTCACATTTCATTTGACTGTCGACTGTGGCAGTAACGATGAGAGAAAAAATCAGAACAACAGGAGGGCGTGCTAAGGCTTTTCATTTCATATATTTAGCATTGCACTTAAAAATTCTGTGTTAATATGAAACGCTTCAACGACCCTCGAATGACGTAGCTGTTTAATTGAAGTTTTCTTTCTTCTACTTAATTCACTTTGTGTGGAAGATTCAGGATAAGAAACGGTTTGGCTATATGAGAATTTATAGAATAATTATCGCTTTCTGTAGCTTCAGCTGGTGTTTCATGATTTGCAGTTGTGTAAACAGAAGAAAACTTATTAAAATTAGGAATCAGTTGGGAAACTTGGCGGTCTGATGCAGCAGTTTATGGTTTCTTTTATGAGAGAATCTAAAGAAAGTTATCTTCAATATGAAGCTTTACAAACTTTTTTGGTTGAAATACTTCCCCAATTATAAAAAAAATTCATAAATACTTACAATTTTGGAATAAATATTAAGTTATAAAGAAACCTTGAGCCAATTCAAATCCGACTTTGTCCTTTTTATAACTTTTCTTACATTATTTTTGTTACAGCTTTTTATTCATAAAATATCACGGAAAACAAGAAGAGAAGATTGTAATCAGAAAGAAAAAAAAGAATCGACCCAATCCAAAAATTTACTTAAGCCATCGGAATAATCTATACAAGAACTTGATTGAATTTTGATAACTTTCCTACTTGAGCAATGCTTATGGCGCGTTTCAAGTGAACTGTGCAGTTATCGAATACCACTTGATCATGACCCAAATTTAAATGTTGCTTTGGTTGACGTCAGAAGCTTCTCGATTTTGCTGTCATGATAACGAACCATTAGAGTTGGTCAATTTTATTTTATTTATTACTTCTGTAACTTTTTATATTGAATGTAATGGAAGTTATTTGAAAAATGAGAAAATTCAATTGAAAAAGGAATAATAAGTTCAACATCCAATTTCTAGAGCCTTAAAATATTCTCTCGTGTAGCAAGTAAAGCAAAAAAAAATTATTCAGAATCCCAATTACTTTCATGGTCGTTTCGAAAACTTTTTATGATCAAATATACTTGAAGTAAAAATAGCAAGTAATTCTATCGTTTGCAATATGTGAAAAGCTTCATGATTCTCACATTTCCAATCATGAATATCATGTTACAATGTCATAAACTATTTTGGCACTTACGAGTTATCAATTGTCGTTCGACTCCGTAATTCTTCTATCTTTTTGCTATAATTATCAGTCAACACAAAATCACTCTCAGCACTAAATTTTCCAATGCTGCTTCATTAGCAGCACATTTAAATATTCATAGAGTGACGACAAATCAGAGGCCTTGTTATCAGTTTGAAAGCTTTTTTTTTGTATTTATTTTGCTCTTTTCCCTCTTTCTCTCTCTTTCCCTTTTCGATAGCTTTTACTTTCACTTCTTTAACGCATTTCTCCAACCCTCTCAGCATTTAATTTTCCATGGTGAGTGAAGAAAAGTCAATCCTTTTCTTCTACTGCCCACACCAAGAAAATCCTTGAAGGGAAAACTAAATTTATGAGTCACAAAATAACTTTTTCTTTCTTCACTTTTGAGCAATAAAAACATAGATTTTCCTATGCTGCGAAGAAGTTTTCCGCAACATTTTTTTCTCACTTTTTCATATTTTTCACTTATAAAAATGCAAGGAAAAAAATCACCCTCTGTGGTGCTGATAACAATAATGGCTAACGTTGAAACGGAGAGAACAGAAAAGAACTAAATTTCTTGTAATCTAAACAGTCTCCTAGATTGATTATGTTAACATTAAATTCCGCGATTATTAAAAGAGGCAGTTTCAAACTTTATTTCACACTATTTTAAAACTTTTCTACTTCGTTTGCAAGCAGAAACTTTTTGGAAAAAAAAATACTTTGGTGGGCTCAGTAAATTTTCAATTTCGATACAGAGAGGTTTTCCCTGCTCACCAAGCTCCTCTTCACTAGCCGCGAGTGTCGATGCAAAGAAAATTTTCGAGGTTTAGATTTTCTTCTCGCTCCTTTTTTATCTGAAATCCTTTCTGCGCATGATTTTATCTTAAAGCTCTCTCACACTGATTTTTTTATGCTCTTTCATCTCATTTTCCTTCTCATTTTCTTCAACAGCAAGTACAACGGGATTTCTCATTATTGAGATTGATATACTTTTCAATGCCTTTCAAGGTTTGAGCTTTAATAGACTTTCGGAATCCCATATTCAATAAACGTTAACAGAATTTATTTATCAAAGAGAGCCATAATATTTCTTATTACAAGATTAAAATGTAGAAGGAAGTTCAACAGACGATACAGATTAAAAATGGTGACCACTTGATCTTTTCACCTTTCGAATAAATAACTTAGTAGATGATATCATTACGAGAGTGAATCAGACCATTCCACATCTGCACATATTTATGGCTGCTTCTCCTTCTTACTTCATATTTTATCTTCTCGTAGTTTGAAAAATGCTAAAGCTTTCTTTTAAATTTCCATTGTATCCTTAAAGCTTCTTTTCATGAATATTTCTTCTTCTCTTTTTCTCTTATTTTAACTCGCTACTAAATAAAGACAATTTAGCCGTTTTATGTCGTCTTCATCGCTTTAATCCCATGAATAAGTTTTCACTTTATGAGTTTCTTACATTTTTCATATTTTTTTACACATTTTTTTTCTATGTCTATGATATGAATTCAGTTCATGTTAGGGAATGAAGGGGAACAAAAGAAAATATAGAACGAAAATTAAAAAGTTGAAGGAACTGAGATATGTTTAGTCACATTTTCACAGTGTTTCTTTTATTATCACTCAACACGAAAAGGAAAAGAAAATAAATAAGAAATAAAAGTAGCGGAACTTTTATTACATATCAACTATAACAAAACCAAGCTGGTTTCTCTGTGTTACGCTTTGAAAAAAATCCGCATCATATTTCACCCAACCCACCCCCAAAATCATGTCTATCTTTAGAATTCATTGTAGAAAAACTGTTTTCAACTTTGTATTTCTTTTTATGTTTGTCGATATTTGTGTGGAGTTTCCTTTGTGTCGCCTAAAATAGTCGAAATATTCATAGAAAATATTTTATGATTTCGCTAGCATATCAACAAAGATATTATTTTAGCGAAAGGAATTTTAAGAAAACATTTATGCTTTACAAAGAGATGTTTTTAGCGATTCTATATGCGTAAAGCTTTCATCATTATCATAAGATTCTAATGAGAAAATAAATAGAATGTCTGTTTAAAGAAATAAGATTTCTTTTTTGCTTATAAGATTCCAACATTTAAGGTTCTGGCTTCAATTAACTTTCTCTCGACTCTTATCAAAATTTCATTCTAAATGTGAAGTAAAATGTCATCGACTAACATGGCGAAATGTAAGCATGTCTTGAAAACATTCTCACGTTACAAACTAAGATATAAATAATGAATATTCATATCCATCTCATCGTTTGCAAGATAATATTATTTGCTGAAGAATATTTTGTATACAAAGGTTAATGTTTGAAGATGGGAAGATGCTAGTAGAACGATTATTGGAACGAAGGAAAGCAAACTTGGATGATTTTCTTTTCTTCGCTCGTGTTTTGTGTAATCGTTTTGTTCGGTTGCTTCTATACAAGGAATACTGACTTAAATAATTAATGCCTCATGTTACGAAATGGAAAAGAATTTCTGCTCAAAATTCTCGTTTCACTTCGTCCCTTGTGTTTGGCTAATTTTTTTCTTTGTTTCCCTAAAAACAATGATTTATTATGTGCTTTTGGGTCATAGACTCATTATTCATTTCGCATCTTATTTCAGCTCTTAAAGGATCAAATAGAAGACGCATTGAAAATTAAGATATTAGCAGCGTCACTTCACGTCATAATTTACTTAACCAGCTGAAACACGAATGCTATCGAAATTCCTTTCCTTAAATATTCGCTGTCAAAGTTATGAGTGAAACGATTCTGCCAGCTTTCCATGTTTAAAACCATAAAGAATATCAAATATCAAAGAAATAAACAAATCTTTTCTTATTCACTCAATTTCTTTCCAAATGAGACTAAAGCTTCAGCCTGTTGATTTCCTTCGTAAGTTGAAGTGCAAAAAGTTAGATTATTAGATATTCAAATTCATTCTCGTCGGCTTTCAATGTGAGGCTCATTTTTCTGAAATTCAATGATACTGTTAAAGTGAATAAGATTTCTTCTTGATTCCTTCTCAAGGGACGTCTTGATTACGAGTCAAGCTCTGTTCGAAAAAAATATTTGACATGAAACATGCAATGAAAAAGTTTTGCTGTGAACAACGTCGGTGGATATCATCAACATATCTGTGTAGTGCAAGCTCAGTTCAATTATTTTTAATGTTATTCAAGCTGTTTACTAGTTAAATGATTATTGAACATGACATAACGACAAAAAATATAATCGAGAAAATGCAGCCAACAGTTTATTTTTGAAACTGAAATAAAAATTAAACAAATATTTGTACAATTTCATGAATGTGGCAGATAAACCACAATTTTATTTACATTAATAAACATGAAGAATAAATCAACCTGATGCAACATTAATGTCCTTAATGAATTCTTCAAGCCATTGTTTCATTCCATTTTAGTTTATATTATCGCCTGTTGCAGAGTTTCTATTACATTTGCAAACAATAAGCTCATATTCATGTTTATTCCAACCTCATTTTCATGTCATCAAGTGCTGGATTTACTACATTTACAGTTGAAGCAATTACCGGGCGTTCCACTTGGGGAATGCATTAAATCGGAACTTTGGCAGTCGCCCTTTTTATTCTTCACTCGACGATTTTGAAACCTGTTGAGCGTTAGAAAAGTTTTGTTTGAGTAAATCTTCTCGTAATTGCTTGGCAGTAAACTTACCATATTTTGACTTGCTTCTCAGATAACTTTAATCGAGTGGCAATTTCAATTCGTCGTAAACGGGTTAAATATTGATTTGCAGAAAATTCACGCTCCAATTCAAGAAGTTGAGTGCTTGAAAAAGCAGTTCGTATTCTTTTACTCGATGAATCGGAATCATAATGAGTGGGTGTAGGTGATGGCGTGTTAGATTTCGGTGAACTCGGATGCATTGGCTTTTCACTTAAATCGTATGGAGTGTAAAGATTTCTTTTCGTTTCAATTTTCATAACTGGCGGTGATGCCGACGGCGATCTGGCTGGTTGACGTGACGTCGGCGAATTCCTGAGAATCAAAGTTCTTTCGTAGTAATTAGCTGCTGGCATGAAAAGTGGTGGCACATTGGTGGGGATGTATGGCTTTGTCGTAGTTAAATCCAATAAGTGATCACTTGGTGGTGACTGATAATGACGTTGCAACATTTGTTGATGTTGCTGTTGTTGTAAACTTAATGAGAACAAATAGCTTCCGATATACGAAGGAGTATATGGCGCTGACGATGCTGATGGTAAAACAGTTTTCGATAAATCCGTCATTGGCTTTTTCTCACACTTATCGTTTATCAACGAATCCACAAAAAATGATCGTGACATATTTTTTACTTCAATTTTTTTTTCTCTTGAAACTTTTCACTTCAAAATCTAATAATCAACTGATCGATTCTCTCTTGCAAAGTTGGTTTTTATAGTTTAAGGTCCTTTTTCTGTGTTCCCTTCAAATCCCTTTCTTCCACTTGTGATCATTGTTATGTGTCGTTGCTTGTGTGCATGTTTTTTACCTTCAATATTCACCTCAGAAAAGATTCTAACATGAATTGGATGAATGTGAGTGAGTAAAATTGCAATGAATACAAACGAAACTGAAATAAATGGAAAGGACCAAAGACCTACATCAATTCACTCAATGCTTCTCTCATAAATTTCAAACATGTTTGTTATTGTAAACTTATAATGAGTAATTTTTTTATTTGTTTCTTTGTTAGAAATTTTTCTCCCTGATATTCACAGCTATTAACACGATGTATTGAGGTGCAATGATGTGCAAGTTATAGATGCGTCTCTGCCCTTCACTGATGTTTATTTACCCCGCCCATCAACTGTCGTCCTCATGCTACATTTTTCTCGCTAACAGCTTGCAGGAAATTTAAAATACGCTTAAGGAAATTCATTCTAAATCAATGAAAGTTGATTGCTTTAAAATCGTGAAATCATTTTTGCATGTCAAAGTTTGTTTTGAAATTAGATTGGAAAAAGTTTTCTGTTTGTTATGAAATCGGATTAAATTTACATTGAAGAATAACTTTAAATCTTACAACGACTTCTGTCTGTGACAACAATTATTTACAAGACGTCTAACAGTCTGTAAATGTTCCAGAAACTCCCACGCAGCTTGTTTCATCGTTTAAACTTCTTCATAACACTCGCTGTCATTCAATTCGTTACCGATTTTGAGTGTTTACTCGCACCACAGAAATCTAATATGAAAACAAACAAACGATTTGTTCGAGGGATGAAAACCTGTTAATTATCAAATTAAAGGTTTACCAAACACCTTTGATTTGACGATTAATGGAAATTCATTCGTTTGATTCCATTTGGAGCATCAGATAACTCGTAAATCCTACCTGAGAAAGAAAGAAGAAAACAAATTCGTTTTATTCCTTCCACTCTCGCTTGTTGTTATGCTACTCACAAAAGGCAAAAGCAAAACTAGAAAAATGCTAGGATCGATTTCAAATCTAACACAATACAATTTCGTTTTGAAAAGCTCTAGAGACAACATTCTCCAACAAGATTTGTGTATTAATGGTGGCGGATCAGCTTTAGATCTTTTTAAGGTCTCTTCAAATTGCTGATTCTTTAAATATTTCATTTTTCAACAATTGGATCAAATTAGAAGGAAGAATAGTAAACAGAAAAAAGGTTTCTTATGATCCTTTGAAAAGGAGTCAAGGAAAAAATCCATTGATAATGTTCAGACACAATGGACATAAACTACACATTAATATAATTTTTCATCTTAGTTTTCTCTGGCTGCAATTCTTCTTCATTCATAAATTTTATCAATGGAAAACTTTTTTTATATTTCTGCAAAGAATGAAATTTATTTCGCAAACTGTAATAAATTTTTTAAAGTGTGAAATGTCGGCTTTTTGATGGATGATAACGAGGAATTCGTGTGCAAAAAGTTTTTAATTGTTTGACTGAGTGACTATTCTGCTTTTGGCTTTGAAACACGTTGTTGGCTTGTTTCAGTTGTCGTCAAAGGAAAAGAAGAAGGAGATGAAATAAAAGTAAAATCTTGAAAGTCCTCGAGTCAAACAACAAAGTAAAAACGATTTTGTTGTGCCTTCTGATGCTGTGGGGAGAAGAAGAAGATCTTAAAGAATATTGTCGAACAACTAACAAACCATCAAATGAATGTCTAATCGATTAATCACAGTGAAGGATTCTTAAACATTTTCTCAAGATCGATGGGAATCGTTTGATTGAAGTTGACGAGCGAAAATTGTGCAAAGCAATCCGACGATCGTTTGTTTGTTCAAATATCATCCTTTTGTGAACAATTAGCACAACGAAAGGGTTATCAAAGAACTCGTTTTGATCTCATTGTTGCGCTTGTTCTGTTGCCAAACATGATCATAATCAATTATATCAATATTAGCTATTGAATTGGAATTTTATTGAAACATAAAGTTTCGTTTTGTTGTGCTACTTCTGCTTGTCTTGAATGTCGGCAAACATTTATCATTGTCTGCATCCTTTCTTTTTGATGATAACTTTGAAATTAAATTTCATTTTTAAAATGAAGAAACGAAGAAGAATTGATTGAATTTACCGATAAACTCCCACAGTACTTCACATCACATCCAATTTATGATGCAATATCAATTTACCTACTTTAATAAACAGAGAAAAATGCTAAATTGGCTTCTTTTCATGCTTCTCTAACCTTCAACTGATTACAATATTCCAATTTGATGATTGAATAGAAAGTTTCTATTTAAAGCTGCACATTGGAATAATAGCAACAGACGGTTGGCACGCGATAAAAAGTGTCGATTTCGCATAATTCTTCCACTGTCGAACTTCAATGCGCGTCGTTAAAATTTATCGATTTACGATGGCAGCAAGTCAAACGATTCCCGTTCCTTATATTATAACTCCAGCTGCCAATAAAGTGATTAATTAGTTAGAACTCATTGCACAGTGAGCTTTCGATAGAACATAAATTCTAATCTAGTTCAAGAATACTTATTTGTAATCAGCGTCATAGGATGGAAAATAAAATGTATGCCATCATGAACTTGAAAGCAATTAAATACTAAAAAGAGAGAAAAAGAGAGACACTATTGAAGCCATAATTGATGACAATGGCAAATATAATGGACACTTAAGTGCTTTTCTTCCATCTCAATTCATGATGGTAAGAATCAGTCGTTGTTTTATCCTCGTCGCGTTCGTTTGAAAAAAGAAAAAGCACGCTCATTCTTGTAATGGATAACGTTCTAAAATATAGTGAAGATGAAAATGGAAACGCAACGAGTGTTGTTGAAACGCATAATAAATTAAACACCCACACGGAGTTGGTGTCAATGTTGTATATCGTTGGCATCATTGGAAGTTTGCTTGCTCTTTTACATTTGTGCCAGAAGCAGAATTTGAAAAATTCAAAACAAGCTTTCATGCTAAAGTAAGCTTTTTATGTTTACACATCCAGTGATGATAAATGTTGATTTAAAGTTTCAAACTTTTCTAACATCTTCCTTCCTCACACAAGAACAAACAATTCAAATTTATGTTGAATAATTTAAAATGTTTTCCTTCTGATTTAAAATTTTTAATTAGAGTTTAACAGATCTGTGATTATATTATTCACAATCTACACAAATATATAAACTCGCACCATTTTTGATGTCAAATGAGTTATGATACTCCCTAACATTCATTCATAACTAACACAAAATTTCTTCTTCATTTCGTTATTTGAATAAAGGTTTTTAATGACTTTGGACTTTGTTGGATTGATGGGAATGTTGTCGCAACTTACTATTCGGTCATACTTAGACAACGATGGTTTTTACAAGGATCACATCTGGTTATTTTGTTTTATAAGACTTGTATGGCGATTTTTCGGCCTCAGCTCGGGTTGCGTAGCATTCATAATGGCCATTGAGAGATACTTTGCTCTGACAAAGCCATTTTTCTACTGTAAACATTTTACGAATGGTCTCATAAAACGATTAATTATCATGATGTGGGCTTCTTGTGCGTTGCTAACATTCGTTCCGGTCCTAGGCTTTGGGATTTTCTGCGATATGAAGAATCGAAAATGTCAACGATATCGTGATGCCGAACACCCTCTGGATGTTACGTACGCGTTTCTATTTTTCTTTGTTGGTATGCTCCACAATTAATTACTATCCTTGGTTATCAATTAAAAACAATTTTGTCCACTCAGGAACTTTTTTATGCATTTCCATGGTGTTGTGTAATTTCTCCGTAACACGAATCGTTTATCGATCGTTTTGCAACATGCAGCAATTGACGTTAAGCTGCTTAGAAAATGCTGACCGACAGCAGGATTCATCAATTAAGCTTCGCCATCAGATAAGTGCGGTCAGTAGTTCAAGCTCCACAACATCAAAATCAATTTCGTTTATCACGCGAGATGAGATAAAATTTATTAATATGTGCAATTTACTGACCGCGTCGTTTGTTCTCTGTTGGGGATGTCAGATGGTGAGAACTATAATTAGGATTAGATTTGCTTTGTTAAATATTTATGTCTTTGCTTTAATGTGATAATGGCTTGGAATGTATGGAAGTAGATAATTAAAGCTTTTCTACACTTTCTCTTGAAATATTTTTTTAACATAATTCCTAACCAGTTGCATCATAAAACTTGTTACATTTCAAAAGCATTTTCATCATAAGTTATATTTCAAAATAAATTCAATTCTCACAAACCCACAAACTTATATGAATTGACATAACGTGACTACAGTTTAAAAAGTTTTCCTTCTTTTGCTGAATCAAATTTAACATGTGCAATTGAAATTTATTTCTAAACGTGCTTAAAAATAGCAATAAACCGATGTTCGATTTCAATGTAATAGAAATTCAGTTGACAACATCACTTGCGATTGTGACAGTGACAAACAAGCACCAATTTAAATAATAAAAAATTGAATAAAATATTATGAACTCATTTTTGAAGCTTCCATTATGAAGAAGCCACTCTATCAATTTCAATGATTCAATAAGTAAAAAACCCTACGAAGTTTGGTAGCTATTTATTTACCTTTCCCCTTACCGCTTTTCCCATAGAACTATTATGATTGTAATTTATTTATTTCTGTTACGCTACACGCTTGAGTGAATCATGAGTTACAACCCCTTCCAATGAATAATCCTAAGAGATGATTATTAGGCGGCAATTATTTATTGTAAATGTCGCTTCATTTTCCCATTAACAGCAAACAAAAGCCATGTTTGTTGGTTCGTCGTCAGATTAAATCATTATAGAATTGAATTTGATTCTTTTTCCACAGATAACAATTCCCATCGCACAATTTGTCGAGAATGCAAATCATTCGAAAGGAATTCGAATTTTCTATCAGATTGCTGACTTTTTATTGCTGATTCACTTTACAATGGATCCATACATTTATGTTTTGTTAAGGACTAACTATTGGATTCGCTTCAAAAGATTTTTGAGTCAGTTGGTGGTTAAAGAAGAGAGTGAGTTTGCTGAATTGCCAAAAATGGACCAAGATCATCAGTTTTAAGCTCCAAAGTGAAAAGAAGGAATGAAAGGAATTCAACTTCCGGCTGTAGATTGAATTTGGGATCAATCTGTCAGTTACTCACGTCAAAATTAGTTTTTTTAAGTGAAAAGTTTCAACAATGAGTAATTATGAATTCAAACATGAGATTTTTTATAAAATTAAATTATTTTATGTGTGACGTTATTGACAAATTAACACAACTAAAGATCATTAGAAAACTCAAATTTGATGTTAATTTTAAGGTAAATTATGCTGTTTCCTTTTCAATAAACATTTAACAATGTAACTGAACATCTTTACCATTTCTTCTTCCCATTTCTCATCTCAACGATATTTGAACAAGGAACGAAATTTAATTTAAAAAATTTTCCACCTCATTAAACATGTATCCAACATAATATTTCACACTTCATCATGTTATGTATGTGATGAAGATAAAAAAAAGATTTTTCGACCTCACTTTTCAATTTTTTTTAATAAAAAAATGAAAAGGTGAAGTGGAAAAATCTTCGTGTTGGTTTTTAGTAAATTCTTAGGAAATCATGCAAGGGATTTTGTCAAAAGTACAACAGCTCGCCTTAGAAATGTTCATTGTTGTACGATTAATTTAATGAAAAGAAAAATATTTCTTACACAATGGAACTTTAAGTTGTTACGTCTTTTTACATTTCTAAATTATTTGTAACACGTGAATCGAACTTGAAGTGTGCAACAAAACCAGGTGGTGAAACGTTTTTTTATCGGTTTGGTCAATGGAGATGAATTCTCTATTGATACGTGCTTCTTAGAAATAAATTGTGAGCGTCTACGATCTTTCAGATTGGGCGTAAACTTTAAGAAGTTACAATTGCAATTCTTCATGAACTTTAAATGAAAAGACTAGAAAAGAAACTTTATGATACATTTTATGGTACTTCAACTGACATAAAGCGGTTCTTTGAAGAAGAAAATGCAACTAAAATTTATTAAACTTTCCTCTTAATTGTTGAATCTTCATGATAACGGAATTTCCTGGAAAGTTTCAAAGTCTTGCAGTAAAATAAATTAAAGCAATTACTTACCCTCTTTCATCAACATAGATATTCATAAAATATGTCAGCAATGCAAAGTTATATTCTCCAAGTTATAGGTAATTACCTAATAACTTTCTTGAACAATAAAAGTAGTGTTGGAAATTAATTGACTTCGTCTCTGAATTAGTGGAAAATAAATTAAATGTTTAAAAGTTAAATAAAAGTTTA